TGTCCATTAGGTAATTAGTTATGTTGAGTAAAAACACATTGTTTAATAGACTTTTTAGCTTTAGGTACTCGTACTAGCTGTGCCAGTGACTTCGTGCGCTAAGAATATTTATTTTGGGCATCCAAATTCGTTCTTTATAAACTTAAACTGGCACTCATGACGCCGGTCGCGTCCCTTCTCGTCCTTTTCGCAAGTTAATCTTAAAAGATAGACATATAGCGTTGGGGACATTGTTAGTTCCTTTAAAGAGAAATTCTTTCATACTGTATATCTCTTAGGTATCTTGAACCGTTTTTGCAGAGTAAGCCTTAGAAACCCATAATGATAAATATTTTCTCAACATTTTTACGATTCCCGCTGTATTTTCGCTTGTATTAGTCACAGAGCAATGTGTTTTTCAATTTCAACCCGTAGTTCCTGAGATTAGCGCGTTCAAACAAATAAACAAAATCTTTGGCTATATATATTAGTATAGATAAGTGTATATTTAAGTATGTAGTTATATTTAGCTGAACTTAACTTAAAGAAATTATCAACAATAGATTCTCTTTAATTATCTGCTGTAGTGTTTAATTTATCAACGTTACTTATACGTCTACATGCAGGTAGTCATACATCTTTTGTAAGGATTAGGCGCTCAGTCGTTCTTGGCAGCTTGCCAGAATCAATGCGATTAACTATTCTATCCTATAGGTATTGGGTCTACACGACATATTGTTACCTAGAAATGTTGAGAAGTAGAATGTAAATACAACACTGTAACGGTTTAAAACGCGATATATATTAGTTAAACTTATTCGAAAATATTTTAACTGAAACATAACGCGGTTGAACTTTATTTATATATTCCGTCTTTTCGAGACTAGGCCCATTTCAGAATATACATTGATTACAAAATGTTGATCGCTTGTAGCTAATAATAGATATTAATGGCTAACAAGAGACTAACGAGCCCGTAAGTTCAATAGATATTAATCTACCCAACAAGATATGAACATGTGTGTGAAATCCCCAATCGTGGGGCATGGGGCGAACACATTTTTTTCTTTGTATCCGTTTTACTGATCCGTTGTTTAACAGGCAAGTAGTTGATCAAACTTACCAAATTAGTTTTTTGTTTCCCTGGGATTCGAACCCCTTAACAAAATGCTAAGCAATACGTTTCACGTTCAGTATGTCATCTTTGCGTGGTCTTAGATTTAATACCTTCGTTATTATAAGACCGTTCAAGCTTTAAACCCCCACTTTCGTAATAGTGCGGCTCGTTGGCTCGTTGGTGTAATGGCAGCGATTTATGGCTTTCACGGGTCGTGAGTTCGATTCCCACCGAGTCCAACATGGTTCTAACCAATTTGGACTTCATCTGGAAATCTGGATAATAAAAATGTGGAAATTGCGTCCGGGTCACGAATTACCTACATAAAAAGCCGTAACGTTTTTTAATCGCTTATCGATTTCAGTCTGTGGATTACCAAATATCTAAAGCCTACTATACTAACTATTCTAGTTATAGTTAAAGGGCTGGGGTAATCCACTTACCAACAAATGAACCATATGCTCGTCTGTCCTTCTCTATTGAAGCAAATTTATAGTAGACTAGCTTTCATCCCCTTTTCAACCCCTATCAACCCTTTTTTGACATTAAAAGTACCTATGTCCTTTCTCAGGCTCTAAAATATTTTTGTACCAAATTTCATTTCAATCAGTTCAGTAGTTTCGGAGTTAAAGCCGGACAGAAAGACAGACAGACAGAGTTACTTTCGCATTTATAATATTAGTATAGATATAACGTAAGCAATAGGTATATACTGTTTATATTTATTTGTGTACATATTGTTATTTTCAAGAGCGTCTTGTTTAATTTGGCGTGTCGGGCCCAATTGGCGAATTGTTTATTGGGACCTCGCTGCCCATTATATAGTTGCCCGGAGCCACCCTCGGAGGAAAATAATTGCTCACGTGCTCTCAACTTTTCTTAGTCATACCCCTCTTCAATAACGTCATTAAACTCATGTTGTTTAGATCTCTCTGAAATAGAAAAAGCAATTAAAGTTTCAGAAGGTGGGTTGAGTTTTGCATGGCACAGTGCACAGTGCAGTTTTATTTTACAAGTAAATATATTTACTTCAAAAACAAAACGTCGACAACGTCGACGTCGGTCGCGTCCCTTTCCGTCGTTCTTAAAAGATAAATTTAAAAGATAGACATATATAGTCTTCGCGCTTCGTCGCAGACTTTTTTTTAGATCATTCTTTCATACATATTTTTAGGTTATCTTAAACCGTTTTTACAACTTACGCCACGGTAACATATTATGATAAATAATTTTCCCAATTTTTCAATTTTTCGAGTTGAAAATTAACACACAAAAACCGTTTTTATAGTAAACAAATTTATGGGAATTTAATTCATTATTACCAATTTGTTATGCGGTATTAACATAATGATTATTTTTTTAAACAATAAAACATCAGATCAGCTAAGACATATATAATGATCTTAGAAAACGATCGAGGGTGAATTCTCCGCTTTATAAACAGTAGGTAGCTTTTCGGTTGTCCTAAATAGAAATTGTTCTAGACGTTTCGAAATCTGGAGCAAATAACGTAATCAGGAAAATTTATAAACAGTCGCACAAATAACATACAACCTGTCTATAGCACCGATGCAGTATCACCCTTTCTTAAATATATGTAAACGTATGAATTTACTATTAAAAATAAAGCACTAGAAAAAAGTTCAGAAGGACCATTTCAATCAGTACAATAATTACGACGCTACCCTATGGGGGGGCTTTGTTTTACCCAGTACTTAGGGTTGCACAGTTGAACTCACATCAGGCTTTGAAATCTGAAAGAGTTCCCTATTTTCTTTACAGTCAGTATTATTAAATTCTTTTAACTATATCTATAATTAGACGCGTCATGTCTAAGAACTAAAATTTCAACATGATAAGGATTATAACTTTATGTAAAATGTCTGAATCCCGACAATGTTGACCTTGCTTTCTTATTTGAACGTGAAATCAAGCGTAGACGTGCTACACCGTAGACGTGTAGCTACGGGAAACATAATATGCACATCGACTTATCTTTTTTTAAGTTCGTAGACAGTTATTTATTTATTTAAGAAAACAGGAAACAAACAGAAATATCACAGAATCATATTATAAGGAATTAAATAAAAAATAGAGTACATATATTCTTTCTAATAGTTTCACAGATAAAATCGAGGTTTAACAATAACTTACACAACTAGACCGTGAAAAACAATGATAGGCTTGATGCCTATCATTTGAGATTGCAGTATTATAGTTACAATTAAAACTAGAAGCACTAGTATATATTTACATATGTAACAAGTTTCAAAGATTCAATTTATAAATCTTCTGAAACATGTCGGAATTTGTCTGGAATTCTGGATACTGTCTATAGTTTACGCGAGTAGTACACATTTAAATATAACACTTTAACGGTTTAAAACGCGATATATTAGTAAATAATAATTAACTAATATATCGGGTTTTAAACCGTTAAATTGTTATATTTAAATGGAATTCTGGATATTAAATGGGTGGTGGGAACATCGAAAATTCCGTCCGTAGGTGAAAAAGCTCTGAAGGTTAATCACGTCTTCGTATTTCACCTACCATCCAGTGAAGGTGACTCTTGTATATCCTCTTCTATCATAAAAGAATTATCGTAAAACATTTGGGCCTTTTTGGACTCTAAAGGTGAAGTAGTACCGCTGGGCTGTATAAGATCTTACCCCACTACGCTGCTCCAGCACGGGTTGACGGGCTAATAACTACGGCTAAATTATTTATCCGTGCTAGTACTAAACAACAAAGCATTGTCTTAAAGCCTTCCTCGATAAATGGTTTGTCCAAAACATTTTTTTTTCATTCAAAGAAACAATTCGAAAGTTATCAAATAACGAACAAAGAAATTTTTAGCTTCATAATATTAGAATAGATATTAATTTATAGTTAAATGTAGGGATGACTCATAGAAGGAAAGGAACTATTAGGGTTCTTATTTCTTGGAAAAGTTAACCGCTTAATAAGTTTTCTATTGAATAGTATCCATCACTAATAATCCTTTATTACGGACGTTAAGTTAAATAACCTGCAATTTAATGTTTCTTATTTACAACACAATTTACAACAATTATTCTTCTTCTTCATTTCTTACAACATATACAATTATAATTCTTCTTCTTTCTACTATCTAGTGTAGTCTACTATGTACTTTATTATCATATGAAGCCTAAGTCCGTGGGCCGATCGGCAAAAGCCTACTCTTTTCTATGTGACTCTTGCCACTTTTCATCTTCCTATCTTTTTCAAAAACAAGGAAGGCCCTTTCAAAAATGTGGTTTATGAATCTGCCTTATAATTAATACACACTCCGTCCGCGTAGAACAGTTATGTTGGGCTGGATGCCCATTTAACTTTTGCAAACCTCCACTTCATCTATAAAATTTAAGCTGTTACCCACGAAGTCGGTCGCGCCCCAATGTTCTTGCAACTTGTTCTCAAAAGATAGACATATGGTATCAGGGACATTTTTTAGATTATTTAAAGAGGAATCATTCGCTTATACGCAGTTTTTGGGTATCTTGAGCCGTTTCTGCAACTCACAAAGGTGATTTATTTTCGCCGCTTATTCCTGTGTTACTTCGTTCCTATTTTTCACAGCGCGATGTTAAAATACCCTCCCTCGATAAATTCTCTCACCAATTACAAAAGTACTTTTTAAATTTCGAACTAGTAGTTTCTGAGATTATCGCACTCAAATAAACAAACAAATAAACTATTTAGCTTTATATATTAGTATATATGTATAAAGCTAAATTCGCGTGCCGACCAGGGCATTTTCCAATCTTTTTAGTGATTTCGATCATTTCACGAATGTCTTCCTATCTTTAAAAAAATCGAAACATAGAAAAATGTGGTTGTTGAATCTACGGAATAGTTACTATTATATTTTTGTCTTCAGGCGGACGCGAGTACTGCGTTTCTACGCGCTGCCCGAGCTGGTCAGATTGATAAAATCATAAGCCTGCTGGAGCAAGGAGTTGACATCAACGTTAGCAATGCTGTAAGTACCATTTTATTTGTTAACTATTCGTACCTGTGACTTTGTTCTGTTGGGCATCATATTATTTTTTGCAAACCACCTCCTCAACTTTATAAGTTACTAGCTGTGCCAGATACTTTGTCCGCATGGAATATTATTTTGGGCATCGTATTATTTATTTTTGCTAACAATATATTATATCTATAAATTATATAATATACTAGCTGATGCCCGCGACTTCGTCTACGCAGAATTAAGATTAGGATAACGTCGTATCGCAGTTACTATCGTAGTTACTTGACACTTGTTGTCATATTTTGGACGGCTCTCACAATATCTTTATAAATTATTAGTCTTTGTGTTATTCTGATGTATAATCTATATTATTGGAAAGTTTAATTGAAATCCATTCGGTAGTTTTTGCGCGAAAGAGCAACAAACATCCATCCATGTGTGGATGTTTGTTTCAAACTTTCACGTTTATAATATTAGTAGGATTAGTAGGATGAAGTTCTATAAATTATAGCTGATACGTAAGACTTTATCTGCGTCCCGTCGTTTGGACATTTTTAATAAATGAATAATATTTCCCGTTTCTTCCACACTACCCATTGCGTCATCGCCTCCTATTGGTCACAGCCTGATGTTTGATAGAAGTTTTGATAAATGCTCTGAACAAAACAGAACCAGTAGTAAGCTACAAATGTATAAAGATTACTACCGTTATTTTTTTTTTATCTTGTCTGCTCCTGTAATTCACTTCACTTGAAGATAGGTGAAACACATCAGCCATCTAACATCTCAATAAGACATTTGGAAATTCTCAGACTGAAGCCGAAACGCGACTTAACGGCTTTTTTATTTGTTTACGATGGTTCGTGACACAGACAAAGTTTAACATGTTTTAGAAAAATTATAAATCGATGAAAGACATGTTGCACCCGATAGAGATCGATCCCACGACCTGTGTATTATTAGGCAAACATTTTCCCCCATTACACCAATGAGCACGTCAAAGAATACAGTTATTAGCAGCAATTGCTAATTTACAAAAGCTTTAGAACTGAAGGTTGACGATTGTCGTGAAAAGGACATTGCAGTAACAAAAATTACTTAGACCATACTTAGTTTATTAAGCGTGACTTACATAACGTTTGATAAGGTTAATTATAATATTTGTTGGCTAAATTCCTAGAAATGCGAGCGAGACACGCGATTTCCTCACGAATGTAGATATTTTTATGTACTGTGTATTCGAATTTTGATACGGTAATGTCTAGAAGTCTAGACTTTGATGATAGTAAGGTGTATGTAAACGTTAAGATTTCTAGTAAAAAACATCTTATGTGTTCTCTTTTTAAAGCCTAGTTATAAACCACAAAATTACCTTCACTATATATATATATTTGAATTAATCTATAAAATAACTAATAGTATACAAAGAACCTTCAACAATACTTAAAATACCAAATCAATTATAGGTAAATCTTGTACCCAAAAAATATTTATGAAAGAATGATTCCACTTTAAAGGATCTAAAAAAATGTCCGCGACTATATGTATATGTTCTACGATTAACTTGCAAGAACGTCGGACGTCGTGAGTAACAGCTTAAATCCATAAACATGAAGAGGGGGTTTAGCAAAAAAAATTTTGATGACCAAAATAATTATTCTATGTACGCGGACGAAGTCACTGACACTGCTAGTTTGATGTACCAATAAAAATTTTATTAATTTTGACCATAATTACTTGTTTCGCCTATTTAAATTTGTGTGATCGTATAATTATAGAATGATCAGGCTCGTTATTTGTATCATTCAAAGACTTGTTAATATTCATAAATGATATCTTAGTTTAAATTATTTAACAGTGATCTATTTGTTACTTTAGTTCTTTGGATTGTGAAATTGTGTTAGTATTTTATTTTGGTAAGTTTGGATCTATTCCATGTTTCTCCTTTCTTTTCGCTTATCTGTATGCAAAGTTGTCTTCAAGAAATTGGGAGTTAAGGCCATCTATTCATTTACTTTTTTATAATTAAAACTAATTTATTATAAAACAGAAGAGTTTCTTTGTTGAAATGCGTTAATCTTAGGAAGTACTGGTACGGACTAAATGTTATTTATGTTGATGGAACCATTCGATCGAGGATTAAATAAAAACCAAATAATATTTTAAATACTGTCTGTAGTTTACGCGAGTAGTACACATTTGAATAAAACACTTTAACTTTAACTTCGGCCCGACGTTTCGGCATCCGAAACGTCGGGCCGAACTTAAAAATCAATATTCAAATAAGCTTAACTAATATATCGCGTTTTAAACCGTTATAGTGTTTTATTTAAATAATATTTCATGTATGCGCTTTATTAAGTCGCGAGACTCAATAAAGCGTAGAGATCAATCAGATTTGTGAATATCGAGCGAGAAGCGTCATTCGATGCTTGCGCTTCTGTTTTATTGTCTTCTGCGAGGTGAAGGGCAAGAGGGCAGAAAGAGGGCAAGAGGTATGCAATGCAATGCAATATTTATTAAATTTTTCATTTGTTACAGAATGGTCTGAATGCAATCCACCTTGCGTCGAAAGACGGGCACGTGGAAGTGGTGAGGGAGTTACTCCAGCGTGGCGCATTGATAGATGCAGCCACCAAGAAGGGTAACACTGCTCTACATATTGCTTCTCTGGCTGGTCAAGAGGCTGTGGTTCGACTTCTTGTGCAGAATGGTGCACAGGTATGTCCCCATCAATGGGTTGTGGATTCGATCCCCACGGGGTCCAACATTTTGTCTAATCAATTTATATTTTTTCTGAAACATTTGAATATCTGGATGTTATTTTGGTGGTAGGAATACTGAAATTTCTCCCAGGCCATGAACCACCGTCCACAGATAAAAACGTTGTGGTTTCAATCAGCCGAACCAACCTGTCTGTTCAAATATCTAAAGCTACAATAGGTCAACAGCACATCGTGTTTAGACGTTCTACAGCTGATGTGTTATAACTACCCTCAAGTGAAACATATCGCGTTTTAAATCGTCAAAAGTGTTTTATTTAAATATAAGTATATTATGTTGGACATTAGGAATAAAATATTGCATGGATAAACTAGTATAAGTAAATAGGACACCGCTAGAGCCAGAGTAGCTTAACTGCAATTTTATGACTTGACTTACTTTTATTTTTATAGTCTAAAATTATTAATTAGCATAGTGAGCGAACATTGTTAACATAATTTTACACAAAAATAATAGTACAAATTCATTTTAATTTAATTGCGCATTTTTATTTTCCTTCTTATTGAAAATCATGTTTTTTGTTATTAGGCCACTCTACCTTTGGCAGCCATATGCAGTTAACTGCAATATTCAAGCTAATGTAAAAATGGCGTGACATTTACTGCACAAATCACAATGCAATGGTTTTGCCTTCAACGCAATTCTTTGAAACGTGAACGTTGAACGATTCGTTCCTTTTAACTTAAATTTTGAGAAATTGTACACTACGCAGTCAAAACTCGAAAAGCGTAAACGCGTTTTTAAAATAAATGATGTATTAGCGTGTATTCGAGTGAATGATTCGCTTAAGATTAAATTACACAGGAACTACAAGCCAGATCACCGGCTAAGAGGCATCCAGCCGATAACATATTCCCCGAACTGCATCCTTAGGAAAGATCAATTTTTGTATCTGTGCTGCAGTGGCATATCTCGCCGCATAACTACGTAGCAATATCGTAATATTGTAAAAAATAACGTTTATGCAAAGTTGTAAAATAATATCCGTCCCTCCCCAATCTCCCCTACGATTGTTCTTAATCAGTCATAAACTATAGAATTGTTAACTGTCATATTGAGAAATGTGCTTTAAATTCACGTTGATTGATTGAACTTCGTACCTACAAACAGTTTGTTTTGATTTGGAATAAATCACTTTTAACGGCTTAAAACGCGAAATATAAAATTGAATATAAGTAAGTTTTTTAATATATTTCGTGTTTTAATCGTTCGAAGTTTTTTATTTAAAAGCTCAAGAAGTAAGTTTAATTTTATTTAATTTAAACTAAAAAATACTTTCTTTTGTTATCTTATGTCGTGCATATTTGCTAACTAATAAATGGTAAATCAATTGAATTACTTAAAAAAAATCGCGTTTTTAACCGTTCGAAGTTAACCTTCGTCTAGTTTAATTGTTATCTTATGTCGTGCATAAATTATTATTTTCTATTTTTTACTTGTAATAATCACATTAATTTTAACTTCTTCTATTGATTCTTGACTTTGAAACATAATCTTTTGCAGGTTAACATCCAATCTCAAAATGGGTTCACTCCATTGTACATGGCAGCACAAGAGAATCATGATGGTGTTGTCAAGTTTCTGCTTTCCAACGGCGCCAATCAAAGCTTGGCTACAGAGGTCGGTATTACAAACAAATAAAACCAGTGTAAACGATTTAACACGGATTTTAGGTATCGTCTGTAATTTACGCAAGTGATCATGAAATTAAATTTTTCAACGTATACCTCTACAAACACTCAATAAATAAGTTATTATCACGACCCAAAGTTTCCAAGTTGTAGTTAAATATATAATAAAAACCGTTAAAATGGTTTTTTTTTATATAAATAGTATATTTATAGTTCAATCTTCTATATATATATATTTCAGTCATCTATTTATAGTTCAATATATAAATTTAAAAGTATTTTACTTACTCGTATTAAACTGATTACTAAAAAGAGCGAGTCATTAACACTGTAAAAAAATCATTTTTTCAGGACATAGCAAAAATAAATAAAATAAGTTTTAAAGCATATCTAAAATTTCAGGATGGTTTCACGCCCCTGGCCGTTGCAATGCAACAAGGTCACGAGAAGGTCGTGGCAGTCCTTCTAGAAGCTGACACCCGCGGTCGCGTGCGCTTACCAGCTTTACACATTGCTGCTAAAAAAGACGACGTCAAGGCAGCAAACTTACTGCTGGAGGTATATATTTCAGAGATGTAGTTAAAACACAACATATATTAGCTTACACACTAAAGAGGAAACACTTATATGACAACTAGCTGTGTCAGAGACCTCGTTGTTTTGGACATTAAAATTTGTTTTTGCCACCCTCTACATCTTTATAAATTTAAGCTGCCCACGACATAGGTTGCGTCTCCTTTCTTGTACGTTAATCTTAAAAGATAGACATATAGTTTTCAGGCCATTTTTTCGGATTATTTAATGAGGAATTCCTCTATACATATTTTTCGGGTGTCTTGAACCGTTTTCGCAGCGTACGCATCAGATACCCTTTCCTTGTATCTTCACTTCTATTAGTCACAGCGCGATTTTTTATAGCCTTCCTCGATAAATGCGTTAACTAACACAAAAAGATTTTTTCTTTTCGAACCCGAAGTTCTTGAGATCGCGCGTTCAAACAAACTAACAAACTCTTCAGCTTTATATATTAGTATAGATTTATATAACTCGAAATTGACATGCAAATATGCAATACGATTATTTTAAAATAATACAAAGACTAAATGCCACAAATGTAATTCCCATGTGACCCATAAACTACATATGTTTTTGCTTGCTTTAGAATGAACACAACCCAGATGTGACGTCCAAATCTGGCTTCACACCGCTGCACATTGCTGCTCATTACGGCAATGAAGCTGTGGCCAGGTTGCTGCTGGCTAAAGGGGCCGATGTCAATTGTGCTGCTAAGCATAATATTTGTCCATTGCATGTTGCTGCTAAGTGGGGTAAGTTCTTTTAAATTATTTTAGATACACAATTCTATTTATTATGTATTCATGTATTAAGTGGAAACACGAAATTGTAAATTCACTTATCGTTAAGGTTCTTTGCTGCTTACAAAATATTACAATTGCATAAGTTATTACAATTTTTTTTTATATCTAATAATAGGTTTTAATATAACATACGGTATTATGAAAAGTAAAACAAACGAGTTCCTGTGAAATAGAAGAAACTCTACTCTCATACTCGCTTATGCTGAAGAGAAACAATTGAACACCGATGGTCGAAAAACTCGCGAAAGCCTTATACAATTTATATTTTAAATAGCTTTAAAACTACCCTTTGACGTTTACTCATTTGGTAAAGCAACAGCACAATATGCTGTTGTGGATTCGAATCTCGCCCGCGTCAATTTTAAAATACATAAGATTATGTGTAAACACTCATCTACATTAAAATGAGATAATTACTATTTTCCCCCAAATCTGACGTAACTTCCGACTTGTGTCTCTGCTTCTCTTAAGTGGAAACTTGCCCTCCTGTTCTAGTATTATGTTATCATCAGCTTCATAAATTTTCTGTAGGTAAAGACAACATGGTATCCCTCCTCTGTGACAATGGGGCGAACGTGGAGGCTCGTACCAGAGATGGTCTGACACCGTTGCACTGTGCTGCCAGGTCTGGCCACGAGAGGGTCGTAGAAGCACTTTTGGACCGCGGAGCACCCATAACTAGTAAAAGCAAGGTATTTATAATGAGTGTGTACGCACAAAAACAAAACCAACAAAAAATACTTACTGTCACCACAAGAATATCACAAAATATGATTTAATTTGAAGAAATTCTTTTGTCTTTATAGTGACCTAAGTTCGTAAGTCTTACATTGAGTTTGATTTGATTATTTTACTCAGGTGCTAGAAATTGCGTCGTCAGTCGTTAAACATTTGATTTAATAGTTCGTGTTTCAATCCGTTTAAAAAGTTTTAATCAAATCTGTACCATCATACATATGTAACTATATAAAGAAACAACTTAATACAAGAGTTATCCAGTCTCTAACAATTCTACACTCTTTTACTGTATTCTGGTAACGCGGCCTTATTACGTTAAGAACATGTTTCTATTGATAATTCGTTAATACTAAGAGTATTAAGTAAAATGTACTAAACGGAAATGGGTCCAGACATTTTTCTGTGCCTTTTTCACTGACCAATTCCCAATTCCCTGTCCAACCAAAACTATAACCCGCATTCACATTGGTCCTCTGTCACCAGAATGGGTTAGCACCACTGCACATGGCGGCTCAAGGGGATCATTCAGAAGCTGCTCGTGTGCTACTCGGGCGTAGAGCACCGGTTGATGACGTCACCGTTGATTATCTGACTGCGCTGCACGTTGCTGCTCACTGCGGACACGCGAAGGTCGCCAAACTGCTCTTAGATAGGTAACAAAAAAATTAAAACGTATTTTCAGCTACGGTGCAAGAAACGTACATATTTTGTATTTCTGTTTCTTGATTCTGTGGTTGATTTTATTTACAGGCAAGTAGTTAGACCGAAATAATTTATCGTTACTCCGAGATTGGAACCCAAGATTTTTATATATTTATTTATAAAAGGCTTACTTAACTACAAACATAAACTTACAAAATTTATTTCTTACAATAATTTTTACTATTTATGTATCTTGAAGGTATGAACAAGAATCGTGCTTAATGCAATTTAGCCGCAAAGGTAGTCGATAACTAACGAACAGAAGCCTTTCATATACGTTTGATAATTATTAATATTTCGTGTTTTAACCCGATCAAATTTGGCGCATGAACTATAGACAATAAATACATTTTCAGTTTAAAAATAAACTTACAAATGACGTGTGTTTCTTTGAAACTAGGGAGAATAGCTAAATTTGTTTATTACCACCAGAAACGCTGACGCCAACGCCCGAGCCCTGAACGGGTTCACACCTTTGCATATTGCCTGCAAGAAGAACAGGATCAAAGTGGTCGAGCTACTTCTGAAATATGGTGCAAGTAAGTCTTCTTAGTATTCTTTTCACTCCTAATCATCTATCCTAAAGCTTGGCTTCGGAATCACATCCCAGAAACTTGGTACAATGACATTTTGTTCCAGGCATTCAAGCCACTACGGAGTCAGGATTGACACCACTTCACGTGGCCTCGTTCATGGGTTGTATGAACATCGTCATCTACTTGTTGCAACACGAGGCAAACCCAGATGTCCCAACGGTTAGAGGAGAGACACCGTTACACTTGGCTGCTAGAGCTAACCAGGTAATTAGTAAAATAGAATAGAAGATAAATGTGTTTACTCAGAAGCAAAACAATAGGAGATTTTGAATTAAACTCATTATACGTAAACGAGAATAATAAGTACGTAGGTAAGGACATACAATTGAAAAGAAACCAGGGCTGACCTAGGCTTGTTTCCCCTAAGAAAACTAAAATTAATAGGACCACGACTCTGAAAAGACACATTGTGTCTTATTCACTCGCCAATTTTATTTACATGCAAGTTTTTCATCTTAAAGAAAAATAAAAGCATACCATCTATTTTTCATCTATTTTTGGCCACAACCTCCTTTATACATATATTACTAGCTGTGGCCGCGACTTCGTCCGCGTGGAATAGTGACTAGGGGTAGATTTTTTAATTATTTAGGCTGTTTATTAATTTATGTAAGAGCGCGTTTATTACAGCCAATCTATATTGTTAGTTTTTTTTTAACATTTCCCGATGTTTATTCGCTCTTATAAGCTTCCTCAATAAATGCTCTAACCAACACAAAAAAAATAATTCGAAGCAGTAGTTCCTCAGATAAGCGAGTACAAACAAACAAAACAACAAACTCTTTAGTTTTTTAAAACCAGATTTTCAGTACACCATCGAAAGATCAATACCGTCTTGCAATACACTACTACCAGTTATATGAAGGTGTTTTATGTACACAATATATGTAACATGTGTAGTTATATGAACAGCTGATACGAAAATAACTTTTAGTTTTTACATGAGAACATTTTAAATTCCCTCTTTATATATTAGAATAGATGAATCACCTAATTAAATGTCCTCTTTCCAGACGGATATAATAAGAATTCTTCTCCGCAACGGTGCTGCAGTCGAAGCGAAAGCTCGTGAACGTCAAACTCCACTCCACATTGCTTCTCGCTTGGGCAACGTCGACATTGCCGTGCTGTTGCTGCAACATGGCGCTGACGTGCGTGCGATGACAGCAGACCATTACAACGCGCTGCATATCGCTGCTAAGCAGCATAACCATGATGTTAGTTTGTGTTATTATCGGTTGTTAGGGAACGGCCGAAGGTTGCTTTACTGGTCACGGCTAAAAACAAATTAACCAATATATGTCGCGTTTTGAACGGTTAACAATGTCTTATTTAATGTGTAGTCTCGTAAATAACTCACTGCAGATAAACTTATGTGTATTTGATCCTTATATAAGTATATCCCATTTAGTTAGTTATTTATTGCTGTTTAGGTTGCAGCAGCTTTAATCGAGCATAACGCACCATTGACAGCAACTACTAAGAAAGGCTTCACTGCTCTTCATCTTGCTGCTAAATATGGTAATCTAAAGGTAAGTGTTAGAAGAAAAAACATCCAGTTTCAGTCTAAGTCATGTTGCAGTGAAGTTAAGTATGCATAACGTAACGAAAACGTTACGTGTAACGTTAAGAAAAAAATAACGTCCGTGTAGCTAAAAAAGTGTTTTAAATTTATACATATTATACTATACACAATAAATAAATGAATGTTCTATGATATTAAAATAAATACTCAGTATATGTGCTACATCAAATACATCTCACAGATGAAACTCGATATGAATCTATTAAAAAAATAATGGCATGGGCGGGTTTCAAACTCTTCATCACACAGCGCTGTTGTTCTACCAATTGAGCTACACTTGTTAAAAGTCTCTTTAATCCATAATTTACTAGCTGTATCAGCGACTTCATCCACGTAGAATAGTTTTTTTGGACACCCAAATTTGTTTTTGCAAACCTCTTCATGTACACTATTACCAACGAGTTGGTCGCTCCTCGTCGCTCCTCGTCGCTCGCAGCCCCCCCGTTCTTGCAAATTAATCTTAAAAGATCTTGAACCGTTTTCGCAGCGTACTCATCGGAATCTCTCAAAGATCTCACATTTCCCACTGCTTCTTCGCTCCTATTAGTCACAGCGCAATGTATATGCGAAAAATTTTATAGCCAACCAAAACAAAAAAAAAATCAATTCGAACCGGTAGTTCCTGAGATTAGCGCGTTCGATTTGGATTTATTTAAACTATCATTTGCTACGAACGTACGAAATATTATGTTCTTAGAGCGAAGATTAAAGTGTGTTTTCATTTCAGGTAGCGAACCTGCTTCTAGCAAATGGTGCTTCACCAGACCAAGCTGGAAAAAATGGAATGACGCCGCTGCACATAGCTGCACAGTATGATCAACAAGCTGTTGCCAACACCTTGCTAGAGAAGGGAGCTGATGCAAAGGTATTCATTGGATTAGCTTCTCCGCAATAATACAATCGTGTTCCTAGAAGTCTCTTAAAGCACCGTGGCGGGCTGTTGGTGTGTTTAGTGGTCCTGGTCGGCTATGGTTTCCGAGAAGGGTTATACGATTTATCTCATTCCCCACGTCACTATTGGCATTAGGAATTCGCACCATCAGCTAAAAAACATGGGTTCCGTAATAAAAGAAACAACATATAACAAAGACTTCTTTGCCTGTCACGAGAATGTATAACAGAAATTTTCACAAAAAAGAAATACAATGTTTTAAATGATAGAGGACGACAGACGAGCTTGGGGCTCACTTGATGGTAGGTGACATACCTATATATAACATCTTAACAAGATGCGCTGTCGTCCTATTTTAGCTTTGGATGTACGGAAATAGATAGACTGAAACTGAAATGTGATGTAACTTTACGTTTTTATCTGTGGACGGCTGTTTGTGACCCAAACGAAATTTCGATATCCTACCACCTATTTAAGATTTCCAGACGAAGTCCAACATGATGCAAGAAAAGTCAAAATTGTCGTGTTACACGTTGGAGCCGTTTTTTGACTCAACCAGCTCGTGAAAATTTATTTTAGATCGATTTTAATAATAGTTATAATATGAAATTCTTAAACGTAGTCAATAGTCCAGAGTCACATCTTTGCTCGGTTTTATGTTTAGAAACAAACATTTAAATGTGTCCCTTTTCAAGACCTCTATTAAGACTTATACTCCAATAGTGCCACATTGCTTAAAGATTTCGTGTGCAATATTTGAGCATATAAGCTTAAAAAATTTAACTGTAATATTTTTTAGGCGATCGCTAAAAACGGCCATACACCACTGCACATAGCAGCTCGCAAGAACCAAATGGAGACGGCTGCTACACTGTTGGAATATGGGGCATTGACGAATGCTGAATCGAAAGCTGGGTTCACACCGTTGCATTTGGCAGCTCAACAGGTTTGTAAATTATAATCCAAAGAAAACCGTGACTGTACAACAAAAACTATATAAATTAAATATAGATAAATTGATTCATCGAGAAATTCAATCGTAAATTGTGTCATTATACGGGTGTGTGAATAATAAAATAAATAAAATAAAATATGTTTATTGTCTCTCTCTTAATAAATAAATTATTATCGCAATCCGTTAAGCTGTCGAACCAAGGAACCCAGGGTATCACTAATGGACACCAATGATTTAAATAAACCACTTTTAACGGAATAAAACGCGAAATGTGGTAGGTAAATCATTCTTAATTTATTATAACTACGGCCCGATGTTTCATTACGTTTAGTCACGGGAAAACAAGATGGAGGAGGGCCTTAATGTCAAAGAAAATTTGTAAATCATTTTTTCTAATACTTTTCGCGTTTTAAACCGTTAAGTGTTTTATTAAAATGTTTACTACTCGTGTAAAGTACAGCACTCAACGCTAATGATATTAAATGTCAACGTGAATAAATTTAGCTCCAGATTTTAACGTGTGTATCTTCTCTTCAGGGTCACACCGAGATGTGTTCTCTCCTGTTGGAACAAGGAGCTGAAGTAGACCAGCAAGCTAAGAATGGTCTAGCGGCGCTGCATCTCGCCGCGCAGGAAGATAGAGTTCCAGTAGCTCAGCTGCTCGTCAAAAATGGGGCACAGGTTCGATGTTGCTTACAAAATTAAAATCGTTTTTGATATTAGAAAATAGGTCCTAACGGATTTATTTAATAAATTTAACAACGCAGCCTTTTCGGGAATGTATAATTAAAAAAATATATTTATTTAATATACTACTAATGAACAGGATAACTAAATAAGACGAAGACATGTGCGTTAAGGACGATAGTTCCTGGGTTCGAATCCTGGGAAAGCAATAGATTGTTTCGTCCGGTACAGTCTGATCAACTATAAGACTGTAAAAACCGATCAATGAAACGCACAGAGACATCGCCCCATACCCTACGGGATTTCCCTTTAGTCCATGCGGTCGAAGATTCGAGTCCCGCTCGTGTTATTCTTTAATAGACTTAAAAACGATTACTTTAATCCTTTCTTGTTTTATTTGTTTTTAATTTATTTTTGTTTAATTAATTCGTTATCTTAAGGTGGACATCTGCACTAAGGGTGGTTACACACCTCTGCATATCGCCAGCCATTACGGCCAGGCCAACATGGTACGCTATCTGCTGGAAAACGACGCATCTGTTAAGGCCCAGACATCGCATGGGTAAGGGATTATTATTAGTATTATGATAGGAGAGGACAGACAAACACTGGGTTCAATGGTTGCTTGGCGAAAATAACATACAAACCGGATGTGTTATCGGCCCATTTTGGCTTTGGTTATTCGGATACTGCAGTACGGAATATAATTAGTATTTGTTTTTTAGTTACACTGCATTGCATCATGCCGCTCAACAGGGTCACATAAATATCGTCAACATATTACTAGAGCATAAGGCTGATGCAAACGCCACGACTGTGGTAAGTCAAATTTATTTAAATAAAACACATTTAACGGTTTGAAATCTGAAATATAATATTTACAAATTATGTTTACATGTCCCGGTGTTTCCGTGATATCGTTAAAAGTCTTTTAAATGTTTTATACTCTACTTAAACAACAGACAGCATTTAAGTCAAACTTAAATATTAATTTAATATTGTTGTATATAACAATATATTAACATGTATTATAATCCATGTTAAAATATCGGTGAAAGAAAACTAAATTAAATAAATAGCTCTTTTTTCAATTTAAATACTTATAATAAATAAAATGTCGTCGGTTCGAATCCCAGGAAACCGAAAGTTTCGGTCTGGGAGGACACAGAAGAACAGCTTTCAAGCTTGCATCTATATAAAGTCAATCAGGAAGATAAACGACACAGAACCATGTACGCCCCATGCCCAACATGTGAATGAAATAAAACACGGTTTCACCAACCGTAACCAATAAGGTTTAAAGACATTTATTTCTCAAAAAAGACACAAGATCAGTTATGTTATAGAGTGATATCAAAATAGATAATAAAGTAGCATTGTGGCGACATCTGGTGTCAATTGTATAAACTGTCAAGTGTCATTTTGAAATAAATGTAGTCATTATCCAACATCAGACGCGTTTTCTTTATAGGTTATGGGCCCAGTCCCAAATAATTAGTTATTGTGGTTTTGTGAAGTTAAAAATGAGTTCCAGTTATCTCGCAAACGTGCCGAAGTTGAAGGGTCGCGAAAACTTTGACGATTGGGCGTTCGCAGTTGAGAACTTGCTTATATTGGAGGGCGCGGACATTTTCCTGAAGCAAGAAGGAACGGGCGATGCAGCGGCGACCGTTGCAAAGGCGCGTGCTAAGATGATTTTGACGATTGATTCATCATTATTCGTGCACATAAAAGATACAACGACCGCGAAGCAATTGTGGACAAAACTTCGTTCTTTGTTCGACGATTCAGGTTTTTCTCGGAAGATTACGTTGCTTCGTCATCTGATTTCTATAAGGTTAGAAAATTGTGAGAATATGACGAATTATGTGACACAAATTGTTGAAACGTTGAGAACGTTTGAGCGGAACAGGATTCGCTATCAATGATGAATGGGTTGGTTCACTATTGCTTGCCGGATTACCAGAGCGATTTATGCCTATGATCATGGCCATCGAGCACTCCGGAATTCAAATAACGGCTGATTCGATCAAGTCAAAATTACTTGATATGGAAGTAGCGGATTCAGGTGAATCGGAACGTAACTCAGCACTGGCAGCAAAATGGCGGAATAAATCGAGCAAAGGGGGCAACACTAATAAACATGGCGGACAGATCCCGAATACGTCAATGTCAAAATCGAATGTAAACAACACAAAAACAATAACTTGTTATCGTTGTAAGGAAACTGGACATTATCGGAACCAGTGTCCACTTTTAAAGGAGAAAACAGTAAACAAGAAACAAAGTAATGCTTTCAACGTTGTTTTTCTCAGTGGCGGTTTCAGTAAAAGTGATTTTTATATCGACTCTGGTGCAAGTATGCATATGACGCCGAACGAATGTTGGATGAAAAATGTTAAATACTCATCAAGTTTACCAGAAATAGTTGTCGCAAATAAGACGAAAATTCCCGTTTTATGTTCAGGTGACATAGAAATAACGACAAGCTACAATTATGATATTACTGTGTAGAATGCGTTATGTGTACCAAGTCTCACGACTAACTTATTGTCGGTGAGTGAAATGATAAAAAACGGAAACAGCGTTGTATTTGAGAGAGATAAGTGTCTCATTAAAAACAAATTGGATGAATTAGTTGCGGAAGCATATCTGGTTGATGGAGTGTATAAATTGAAAATACAAACACAGAATTGTTTATTGACAGCAGTCAGTGGAGAAACATGGCACAGACGGCTTGGCCATATCAATAGCACAGATATGAACAAGATGAAGACGTGTGGACTGGTAGAAGGACTAAATTATCCTGATGTGTTCGTTATAAGCAAATCCAGCTGTCAAACATGCTGCGAGGGGAAGCAATCTAGATTACCATTTAATTCTGGATCACGAGCCACAGAAACTCTTCAAATCATTCATTCTGATGTCTGTGGGCCCATGGAGACAATGTCAATAGGCGGTGCTCGCACTACAGAAACTGTAACTATTCCAGTAGTGGAGACCACAGATTCAGTGGGGGAATTGTTGGAGGAATCTGCGGTGAAGACAGAATTTCTTTACAATCAGTCAAGTTCAAGTTCCAGTGAGTGTGATTACTCAGAAAGCCTAAATAATTCTTTCCATAAAAAAAAGGAAGAGAGTGACAAGAAAGAGAAAGAAGAAGAAACAAACAATGTACCTCAGACAAATGAAGAACCAAAGAAACGGCTAAGAAAAAGACCGGAAAGATATGGGTTTGCAAATATGAGTACTACATCTATAGGAGACAATGAACTGACTTATGCGGAGGCTATCAGCGGTCCTGAGAGCCAACAATGGCTGCAGGCGATGACAGAAGAGCTGCAGTCATTCGATGATAACCAAGTTTGGGAGATAGTCGATGCTCCAGATAGTGCTAGTGTAGTGCAGTGTAAATGGGTCTTAAAAAAGAAAATAGATTGTGACAATAAAGTGCGATATCGTGCCAGACTTGTAGCAAAAGGTTTCACGCAGAGGGCTGGTGTGGACTATGATGAAACTTTTTCCCCAGTGATTAGGCACTCAACCTTGCGTTTACTTTTATCTTTAAGTGTGCAGTTAGATATGAATGTTACTCACTTAAATGTCACAACAGCTTTTCTTAATGGTTATTTGAAAGAGAGTATATTTATGCACTTGCCAGAAGGTTTTCCTAATAAAGAGCCAAATAAAGTAATGAAATTAAAAAAGGCTGTTTATGGCTTAAAACAATCATCTTTGGCTTGGTATCAAAGAGTAGATGAAACATTGTGCAATTTAGGTTACAGAAGATGTGAACTTGAACCTTGTGTTTTTATAAAAAATCATAATAACAATAAGAAAACTATTGTTGGTGTCTATATTGATGATTTTATAATTTTCTCGAATAATGAGTCAGAAACTAAGTCCTTGATAGAAACATTGAGTCAAAAGTTTAAGATTAAAGATTTGGGACAAGTTAAACAGTATTTAGGTATGAGAATTAATATAAGCAAAAATGTTATTACAATAGATCAGGAGAATTATATTGAACAGATAGCAAGTAAGTTTAATATGACTGATAGTAATTTGGCAAACACACCCATAGAATGTACCGTATAGAGAAACCGAAACAGTGTAATAATAACCTACCTTATCAGAGATTAATAGGCAGTCTAATGTACTTAGCGGTCTTGACAAGACCAGATATTGCTTATGCAGTTAGTTACCTTAGTCAATTTAATAATTGTTATTCACAGTTACATTGGAATTATGCCAAGAGAGTCTTAAAATATTTGTTAAAAACTAAGAATTATTGCTTAAGATATTCCAAAGAAGAAGCAGAACTGGTTGGCTTTGTGGATTGAAGATGGCAAGCAACCATTATTCTTATAAGCGTTCCAAACATATTGATATAAGATACAATTTTATCAGAGAAGTAATTAGCAACAATAAGGTTGAGACTAAATATTTGTCAACTTCTAGTATGCCTGCGGATTTGCTTACTAAGGGATTGTCTGGACTAAAACACTATGAGTTTATGCAAAGACTTGGTATTGTGCAAAAATAATTTATTTGAAATAAAAATAAGGTTTATTGTTTCTTTGAGTTGTGAACTGTGCAATATATATGTATGTATGGCAATATAGTTTATATAGGTTTATATACATGTATTATAGTTTATAAGGCAACTAGTTTGTTTGATATTTTGATATAGTGGGGGTGTTATAGAGTGATATCAAAATAGATAATAAAGTAGCATTGTGGCGACATCTGGTGTCAATTGTATAAACTGTCAAGTGTCATTTTGAAATAAATGTAGTCATTATCCAACATCAGACGCGTTTTCATTATAAGTTACTTGAGAACACTATACAAATGCACCTAACTTTTTATAATTCTACCCGCGGGCGACGTTCAAGATAACGAACGCCATTTATATTTGCAGAACGGACAAACACCATTGGACATCGCTTCAAAGCTCGGCTACGTCACAGTGATGGAAACACTAAAGGAAGTATCAGAGCCTTCAGTTGCCCCGGCTTCTCAAGACAAGTACAAAGTGATGGCACCTGAGACGATGTTGGAAACGTTTATGTCAGACTCGGAGGAAGAAGGTATATCGATATATCTATACTAATAAAGCTGAGGAGTTTGTTTGTTTAAACATGTCTCAGAAACTACTTGATCGAATTAAAATTATGCTTTAGGCTGAAATAAATTAAAAAAAATCATGTTGCGGCCAAAATCATTTTGCGGGGAAATTGTGTATATTAGTTTTATTTATATTATATTAGTAATTGGAATATCGTTGAAGAACCATTCTACACAGACAAACGTACATCTTAAACGTGTTTTTTTTTTGTTAAATCTAAAATAGATCAACAGCACATATGTTACAATCGTTACAATGAAAAAAAAAGTATTTGCAATATAATACTTATTAAAACTAAATGATCATTTAACAATAGTACTTTACCTTCCATGTTGAATAACAGAAATTGTTGAGCTATAAAAGAACGACACACAATATTTTAAAGCATGGTTAACTATTGAGGTTGTAATTGTTTGTGTTTCTGAAATTTGACTTCTTTTTTAGGAGAAGACACAATTCTCAACGACCAACCCTACAGGTACCTTACGGCGGATGATATGAAATCTCTTGGAGATGACTCCTTGCCCATCGACGTGACTAAGGATGAAAGGACCGAATCTGCTTTGAGCCACAAAAACATTATGGAAATATCTCATGGTGAGTATTGTATAGTATAAAGTTTAAGGCCAAGATTTAGGTTCAGAAATCTTCAATCAAAATCTAGATTATAGACGATTCTTTGGTACTAACATAATCTGTGGTGTTTTTTAAGGTTCCGTAAACGGATTGGGTTTCCCGCCACAAAACGAGGTAGTCGTGAAGAGCGTCAGTCGATACAGCACCGCGCATGCGCCCGAAGGCTACTGCTACAATGTCGATCCTACTTTGCCAAAGTCAGTATGATTTTTTAAGATCCTATAAAGATTATGGACATGAAATTGTATGATTAAATTATTATAAGTAAATAGCACATATACTGTACGAGGTAATTTATTTAGTGGTAGTATTAAGGAATACACTTTTAACAGTTTAAAACGCAATATATTAGCTAACGTACATTTTGAGTTACCAGTTGACGTATCAGATGCTTTGCAGTAGCCGTGGTCGCTTAGGCTTAGTAACATATTTCGCTTTTTAAGCGGTTATAAGAGATTTAAGTAAAAGAAAACTTCTAACTCGCCATAATATTATTACAGATGTAGTATTATTCCGAAATATGCTTTAAATATTTCTTCGTGCGCATGCTGCCTGGATATAACAGAAAAAAGTTACAATGGAAAAAGTAAGTATTATGAGATTCTCAACATTAAATTAACAATTGTTTGAAAACTTTATTATTCTACACATCTTCTAGTCAATTCGATATCCGCTCGTGTCATCAAATGCGTTCTTATATAGATTCCATTTTGTGCGTAGTTTCCTGGTATCATTTCTTGTGGATGCGCGCGGCGGAGCGTTGCGTGGTTGTCGTGGGGGTGGCGTACGCGTTATTGTCCCTCCACTTTCTGCTCAGCAACCGACAAGAATCACTTGCAGGTATGTATCCCAATAAATATCCCAAATGGCGGAGACCTTACCCGTTTTGAACCAGAAAGTATTTATGGTAACTACGAAAATATTTTTTTTTTTTTAGAATATTTTACTTATTTCCTAACCCAACTTCACTTTAAGGTCTATATATTTAACAACTTTAAATCCGTATTCTTTAGATATGATTTTCATTTGCAGATATTTGAAGCCTTCTCGTATTAATCATATGCCACCGCTCATGGAAGGAGAGGCTCTAGCAGCTAGGGTTTTAGAGATGGGACCTATCTCTGCAAAATTTTTAGGGTATGTACATTGCACACACATTTTTCACCTCAGCTCAATGGTTAAATAAGTTATCTGGACTGTGTTTAACACGAGATCGAATCTTGGAGAAACGACGAATTGTTTCGGTCTGGCAGGTCAAAGAAATCATCAGATGTTACGTCAAAATAATCACCCCAACACTGCTGTACAATTACACAGCATATATCCTAATATATTATACTCTAACTCATATATTTAACACAAATTTCAGGCCAGTGATCTTAGAAGTACCGCACTATGCTTCGCTCAGAGGCAAAGAGAGAGAAATTGTCATCTTGAGATCAGACAATGGAAGTAGCTGGCGAGAACATAACACTGATGCAACTGATGATGTCGTTCAGGACATACTTAATGAAACACTGGAGATCGAAGGTAAGAACAACATAGCTTAATCTACCGGACTAAGCCAATTTGTATTAACAGCTAGCACGATAATTTCACTTAGTTTCATAACTTGCCTGTTTTAAAAAGAGAACACAGGAAATAGAAAAATCGATCCTTTAAAGAAGATTTACCTGCCATCATGCCTAGTAAAGTAAAATATAAAAGATAGTAGACTTCCACATTTAAATCATTAAAGTTTTTGGTAATTAACTTTTTATCTGAAATTGTATCAGATACAAGTGAAGAAGAGAAGAGTTGGGAGGCTGCTCGTGTGACGCGCATCTTAACACACGACTTCCCTCAATATTTCGCTGTCATTTCCCGTATAAGACAGGAGGTGCACGCTATTGGCCCTGAAGGTAAACTTAAAAAATATCCAAAGATGTCGTATGATCCCACAATTTGCATAGTACATTTATTAATACCATGTAAAATAAACATAATTAAAGAACCCAGTCTAATTCTTCAGTATCAGAATCTAAACTATTCTGGTTTTATTTTTTGGTTGGTAGAAGGTTAGGTATAGCATTCTTTGTGAAACTATCTTCACTTATGCCATCGCATAATCCTGTAAATAGTCAACTTCTTTCAGTCAGATTCTTTTTCGTAAGAAAGAGATTCAGAACCGTGGCCGAGAGTTTGTGTTTTTATGGGCAAACTCCAGACCGGCATTAAGAATTTTAACCAATCCAGAATCCCATGATCTGTTGTCGATCTTATTACGAGTCACAATAAACAGGCTGTGTGCTATATACGATATTGGTGATTTAATACTTTAAACCCCAAACTCGTTTCAGGTGGTATGGTGTCAAGCTCCGTAGTACCACAAGTCCAAGCCGTATTCCCTCAAGGCGCTCTGACCAAGAAGATCAAAGTCGGCCTCCAGGTAAACCTCTTTAAACCACGCTCAGGTGTTAAGGATAAGAACCTTAAAAAGATCACTGTCAATAATGTATCTAAGAAAAAGCGTTTTTCCTTGATTTGGTAGTACTGTAATTAGGCTTCTGTATTCTACTTTTTTCTTCGTCGGTCTATTATTCTTAGAAACAAAATACTATCTACCTTTTAATTCTACTACTTAACTAACTACTTTTTTCACGGGGCCATACGCATTTTGGCTTTGTCTTCAATAAACTGCATAGATCGCATATAGCGTAACGTGTTAGGCCATATTTAGGTGCTTGTTGTATGGTCGTGTGTGTCTTGCATCAACGACGAAGATTTTTACTGTAATAGTACGCGATCTATGGAGTTCATAGAAGACACTGGTCCTACTAATATTAAATTCCAGTAGTTTTTAACATACGAAAGATAATTATCAGTATTATAAACATCCGGCCAAGTCGGTATAAACTATGCTTATGAAATTTATCGAATATTTAACGATAGTTACCATTATTATAAGTAATAACTATTATATTTTCATCTGTAATTGCCACTTTTATTTATAACTTAATATAAGGGGTAAATATTATTTCATGTGACTGCCAAAGTTTGTATTGAATTTTAGAAGTTCTTTGAGAAGGTTCTGTCAGCTTTATTGGTTTGTTGGTTTTTCGAGTCAAAGTATATTCTGAATTTACCTAATAGAATATCTACCATAAGTACAAATTCGATGCCAAATATTTTATTCTTGACTATTTGTCCTTTTCGGGCTTATATGCAAAGATTTTCCATAACAATGATCTCAATAACAATATTATAATGCTTAAAGACAATAATATTCTACGCTACCATACTTTATAATTTATGAAAAGTAGAATTTTTGAATTATTTGTTGCGTTTCGATATTATTTAAGTCAAATTTATATAGCATAAGTTATTATTAAGATAATGTATTGGCGTAAAATTGTAAAGCTTTTTAGGGGATTGAAAAGGTATTTTTGAATGATCTAGTCGTAAGTCAGAAAAGGTTAAAACATAGTTTCGTATTTTAAAAGTAGGAGAGGATTGTTTCGAAAACAGTATTAGAAAATTGTGTGGCTAAAATCGAGTTAGGATGAAGTGTTGTATCAGTATTATTTAACATAAAACGCGTAGAACATATCGATTTGAATAATTTATAAGTGTCTAGACAAATTATATTTATTTAAACGAAGGTATACGAATACAAGAAAAAAAAATGTCAAAGCTATCGGCTAGTGACGTCAGTATTTTTTGTTCATTGATGACACTTCTATTACTTGAAATGACATAATGTCGAGAGCCATTTCTCAATTACGACGGTCGTAAACCTAAACCCAATAAGCTTAGCAGAATGGCCGCGATGGATAAATATAATTTGTCTATAAGATATCACGTTCCCAATGGAACAGCTACCAGTGTACCCAATAAATTTAGTAACGACCCTAAAAATATATTGTAGTTGAAATCGAATAAACGGCGTGTACTTACCTATTTTGTTTTAAATTGAAGCAAGTATCTAATATGAAATCACTATTTTGCATTGATTCTCACACATCGTTTGATTCTGTATAACGAATGGTTTTGTATCCTCTTGTTGGTCTTTAGGCTAGGACAGAAGCATGTTATGATGGATGTTTGTTTTCCGTCTTTTGAACGTAATGACAATCTTAAATCGGCCATTATGCTAGGTTATAAATTGTTACCGAGTTATCAACGATTGTATACTAATGCATTTGTTTGTGTAATTGATTTGTGACAAAGATTGGAGTGTTGGTTATTGTATGTATTTTTAAGGTTTGTGTTAAATTTATTGGGTCATTTCAGCGTGTTAATAAACGAAGATCAAATGTTTGATGTGCTCTACATTGTATTCTCCTAAAGACCAAACGGGACTTGCATGATGAATATTTATTTTTGCCATTAATTTCTTTAGTGTTGAAGCTTTATAGCTTTGTTTGTTTGGTATGAGCGCATGTGTGAGAAATAATGGAAGAATTCAGTGTGCGATTTTATTTCTGCTTAGCTGTGATTTCATATTATATTTGCTTTATCGTGCACCTATCCCTTCTCTATCCATATCAACACCTTTTACCAGTGTGTACATATTAAACAACATGCAACATCAAAGCATTAATATCAGGGGTGAGTACACTTTCTATTTTAAGTGCACTTTTATTTGCCACGTCTGCATGTATTAAATCGTGAAGTCGAGTTTGGTCTTTAGTATTATTATTATATTTATCTTAAATTGTTAACTGTCTTACAGGCTCAGATAATAGATTCAGAGTTAACAGCAAAACTCTTGGGCCGTGGCGTCGCTGTGTCTCCCGTTGTAACAGTTGAGCCGAGAAGAAGGAAATTCCACAAGGCAATTACTCTGAGTATGCCAGCTCCTCGACCACATACCCAAGGAATGACGAACCAGTACAGCACGTCCTCGGCTCCCACTTTGCGACTTCTCTGTTCCATATCAGGTAGATTATTTGAACGTTTTAAATCCCGCCGTATTTAGTAAATGGAAGATAATCTTAGTACAAGTGTCAGTAAGAGTGTTTCATGAGTAATTATAATATAAAAATCCTTAACGAAGCGCTTTTACACGTCAAATATATTTGCTAATTTAGTTTTACACAGAAATTCGTCACTGTCTAAGCTAGAATTTCGCGTTTTAAACAGTTAAAACGTTTAATTTAATGAGCTAGTTACTCCAGGGCTAAATATTTATTGCTGCTATAATTAAATTTACTTTTCGTATCGAACTTCCATTAACTATCTCCACGAGTGTTGCAATGGAATATAGCTTGTTTGTCACATTGTTCATATTGTATTAGGCCTGCTATACGAAAGGTAAGTAAAATGTAGGCTCCATATTTGCTTTAAAGCTCCTCTATAGTAATATAAATATTCCATTCCAACACGTCAAGTAATGTAGTTATAGAATAACGTTACTCTTTTCTCCATTTATAAGTTATTAGTTAATATTGAAATATTGGTAGCAGATAGTATTTGCTCTTCGAATGATACTATAGTTCGAAAATACTTAAATTAATAGACAAGAGACTATTCAAGAATAGAGTAGATTATCCTTTATTCAAATTTAGAACTAACTATCCCATATTTTAAATCAATGGGATCGGCATGTTATTCGATAACTAGATTAGATTTTTAATATTGAAATTATCAACTCTGAAACACTGAAAGGCCCCAACCAAGGCAAACATATTCATAATGACGCTTATAGCAAATACACAAAGCAGCTAACGGGAGCGATCCCTATGTGTGCGTTTTGTGCGTGTCTACATTGTCTTTGTTCTCGTGTGTTTGTGTGTGTTGCACGCTCACCGTGCGTGGCGTACATTTTACGCTACCACCTAATCGGCGCGCACCAACAGGGGTATTTCGCAAAAGATCTCTCGAAGGTAAAAAATTAGAGGTACCTTTACAGATAACAATAAATCCAAATCAATAATCAGATTACGTTTCACGTTTTGTTTGTTTATTTCTCTTGATTTCTTTATGTTCGTTTTTACTCTCACCACAACTTTAACTTTGATAATTATACTTCTAATGTATCGTGTATAATTGTCAAATGAACTTCTATCACTTTTGAATGCTTTTATTTCATCTTTGCTTTTACATTCTTCTATGCACGGGCTGTAATTTTGGCTTTTTTAAAACCACCGTCACTCTGTACCATAAACAGCGAGGTTCTAAGAATGATGCACTTGGATATTTCACGTAATATCAATTTAGGAGGTCGAGGATTATTTGTGTCCTAATAACACTGTAAAATTTTAAGCACAGTCACACCGATTTTATAAAGGGAATACAATGTATCGTATGTTATATCTATAAACTAATCCTTAATCATTAAAGTCTCATTTGCATTATACGTCAGTGTTCCCTGTTTCCGTTGATTTGCTTAATGATCAAATTCCTTTCCAAAACGGCCTATCTGTTCTGTTGTTACTTTCTCATCATTTCTATATGTATTTTTCTTATTTGTTTTGTCATTGTTTTTATCACTCGAGACCGAATGACGCACGCCAATTGGATTTTTATTTATTTTTCAGTGAATGTCCTTCGAGAGATCTGTTTTTCGAAAATCGGTACACTGCCCAAAATTTATCGATCAAATTGTGAATCATTTGAAATTATTATTTTTGGTTTGAAAATACAGCACGATGCTTAACAGGTGTAATCATGATAGTGTGTCACATTTTATTCACTTTTTCATGACCGAGACAGAAAACGGTATGTTGTTTTTTTTCTGTGGTTCGCCCTTGCTTGTGTATTTGCTATAGGCCGTTTTGGAATATTTTTTTACCTTTCTTATTTCTGACCTTACCACATTATGTTAAGATGTTTATCGATGTTAAATGATGATCTACTGACACTACACTGAACAACTTTGAAAGATTATATTATGTAATGTAAATTGTATTCAGTAGCTTGCATGCATAATGAAATAGGCACGGCAGATGTAAAGGCGTTCAGACCGCTGGCTGCTAATGGAATTGGGCAAATCTGTATCTTAACTTAATTTTATTGTTTATCTAAATTAAGAAACCTATTAAAAATTTGGGGTCGAACCAACGATCATACCATTCCGTGCTGTTACTGTACCGACTGAGCGACCGTGATCCAATCCTATAAATATACCTTCCGTGCAATGTAACTTCAACGTTAATATTTACACATTAAGGTTCAATGTGTTTGTTGAAATTTTGAAAAAACATGTGAAAAATAATAATGTTCTAAATTATTCAATATTTGCATTTTTAGGAGGCACGAATCGTGCGCATTGGGAAGATGTCACTGAGAATACACCACTAACGTTTGTGAATGATTGCGTTTCGTTTACAACGACTGTGTCGGCTAGATATTGGCTGATCGACTGCAGGCATATTGAGGACGCAACCAAAATGGCCACAGAGCTTTACAGGTAAGGACATATTTCTGTGTCCGAATTTTCTGTCTCCATTTCTGATCTAATCTTATGTAACACTTCAACGGTTTAAAATGCGAAATATATCAGTTAAAATTTGCAAATACGTTGAAATAATTTATAAATAAGTTTAAGTGTATATTTCGCGTTTAAATCTGCTAAAATTCATTAAATGGCGTAATCTAAAAACAGACCGTGTTTAACAATTAATTGTTTTTCTGGGATTCTAATCCAGGACTGCTAAACTCATGTTTATCACGTAATTTACTAATAAAATTATTTCTTCTCCCAGGGAAGCAATTCACGTACCGTTTATGGCCCGTTTCGTCGTATATGCCAAACGTACAGACGAAACTCAGGCCCAGCTGCGAATGTTCTGCGTCACTGATGACAAGGAGGAGAAGGCGCTGGAACGTATTGAGAGGTTCATCCAAGTCGCCAAGAGTCGGGATGTTGAGGTAAATCTATAGTAATATTATAAAACTGTAATTAGTCAGTTTGAAGGCGGGAATTTCAGGAACTACTGGTTCGAATTGAAAAATTATTTTTGTGTGACCATTTATCAAAGAAGCCTTACAACACACTGCAATGAATAGTAGCGGAGAGACAGTGGGAATTGAGGAAAAAAATATTCATCTCTGTGGAATTCCGTTGCGTGAACAGCGAAAACGGTTCAAGATAGCCAAAACAACTGAATAAAATTAATCCATCTTGCAATGATTTAAAAGAATTTCTGCGACAGTATACAATCTGTTGTTTTTTAATTAACTATAAACGAATTTTCAATAAATTATGACACTGGTTGGGAACGAACTCACGACCAACGGCATACCATTATAATATTCCTATCCTTTAGGTGCATGAAGGAAAACCAATATACCTAGAGTTTGGTGGAAACCTGGTACCAGTTGCGAAGTCTGGAGAACAACTCTCCATACCGTTTAGAGCCTTCAGGGAGAACAGGGTTGCGTTCCCGGTCATGATAAAGACGCAGGACCTGGAGCCGATATGCCGCTGTCAGTTCATGAGGGACCCGAAGGTGCCGAAGGGAGAACCCTCGCCAACACCGGTTAGTGAATAATGATTATACATAGTAGTAGTAGTATTTTTTTATATATATTTATTATTATTATTGGTCTAGTAGTGTTACACTCGATGGAAGTTGAGGACGTTCAGGGTTTGAATCCTGGTCCTCTCAAAATTATCTCCGATGAGAGAAGATGTACTTACCTGAAAGATATTTTGGTTCTATAGATTGAAGCGAACCAATTACTCACAATTCATATAAGTTATGTATAAAAATCAAAACTTTGCAGATTGCGACGTTGAATATCATGGTACCTGATGACATACCAGCAGAACGAATATCCCCTGTGCAATCTGATACACTACCACGTCGCACTGAAGAGCAGGAGAGAATCTGGAGACAACGGCTTAATGACCCCAGGTCTTGTTAATACAGTTTTTATCTATAATAATATATAAAGCTGAAGAGTTTAAATACTGTCTATAGTTTACGCGAGTAGTACACATTTAAATAAAACACTTTAACGGTTTAAAACGCGATATATTAGTTAAACTTATTTGAAAATGATTTTTAACTTCGGCCCGACGTTTCGGATGCTTTGCAGCAGCCGTGGTCACGGGGAGACTAAAGATGGAGGATGTCTCTGACGTCAAAGTAAAGAATTGCTACGCTAGCGCCATCTGTTCCGTCGAAGTTGGTATTTGGCGATAATTCTGTAAGGACCCGGCCAGTTTCGCCAAATACCAACTTCGACGGAACAGATGGCGCTAGCGTAGCAATTCTTTACTTTGACGTCAGAGACATCCTCCATCTTTAGTCTCCCCGTGACCACGGCTGCTGCAAAGCATCCGAAACGTCGGGCCGAAGTTAAAAATCATTTTCAAATAAGTTTAACTAATATATCGCGTTTTAAACCGTTAAAGTGTTTTATTTAGCTGAAGAGTTTGTTTGTGTGTTTGAATGCGCTAATGTGTGCAACTACTGGCTCGAATTTAAAAATTATTTTTTGTGTTGGTTAAAGCATTTATCAAGAAAGGTTTTAAAACATCGCGCTGTGACTAATAGAAGCGAATAAACAGTGGAAAATCTTTTTATCTTTGTTGGTTTCCGATACGTACGCTGCGAAAACGGTTAGAGATACCCATAAAATATGTATGAAAGAATGATTTCCCTTGAAATTATCTACAAAATTGTGTCTATCTTTGAAGATTAACTTAATAGTTTCATAAATAAAGGGGAGGTTTACAAAAATAAATCTTGATGCCCAAAATCTACGCGGACAAAGTCACAGGCACAACTAGTTAATTTTTATAGTCCGTTTTGTGAAAAATATTTTGGCTTACAGGTTAGAAGACATCTGCAACCTCCTGGGCAAAGACTGGGTGGCGCTGGCATACGAGCTCGGTGTTAGTGTAGCCACTGTGAACCAGATTCAAGCTAAGCGTATAACAACGTCTGAACAAGCACAGCTTATGCTCAAATTGTGGAAAACACAATCTGGAACGAAGGCACAAGGTGTGCAAACTTATTAAAAGTGTTTTGATTACATTTTTCAGTTTTCTATAGATTAAAGAATTGACTGTGTGAATTCTCTGTCGCATGGGGCGGACACATTTTTTTAGCCGTTTCACTGATCGATTTTATTTGCAGACAAGTACTTAGCCAGGTTTCTGTCCCCTTCCGGAGCCAAACATCGCTTCCTCGGGATTCGAATTCAGAGAGACCCTTTGGACCATTTTTAGGGTTATGTATATAACGTGCTCAACTATTGAGTTACAGAAGTTACTAAGTCTTAACTCTGCTTATACACAAGTTATGTCATTAGTTTTAACAACAAATTTTACATTATCATACGCATATACACACAAACATTTTTAGCTGACCAACTTTATGCTTCAATGTCAATCTTTTAATGTAACACGGGATTAAGCGAGGGTCTTCCAACACAAGTTATTCATAAATTTAACGGAACAGCCTCAATACTAGATGTCATTTATGGTTAAGAGAGAGACAATTAACATTTATTTTATTATTTTATAGACAACTCATTAGAATTGGCGCTATGTCGTATCGGTAGAGATGATATAATTGCACCGCAATCAGAAATAACTAACGAGAGGCGTATTCAACGTAATATATACCAAGAGAGGCAAGCGTCAGAAGAAATCGAAGCTTATAAAGGTAATTTTGCATTAAACACTGTATTCGTACCATTTATTAAAGTATTAACCCAAATCATTTAATCATTAAAATGCAATCTAACAAAAATATAAAACGCGGTAATAATATTGTGATCACCAACACTAATTGTTAAAATCATTATGATAAAGCTGAAGAGGATAACAAACTCAAAGACACAATGGACTCTAGTCAAATTTCTGAACGAACGCACACGGAGGATATGGACCAAGATGAAGCGAAATATTCACCGGAGGAAAAGAGTTTCATAGATAAAAGTGAAATGGAACGTACTCCCACACCAAGTGAAGAAAGCGAAGAAGATGAAGGTATGCCGTATAATGTTTCTGGATACTGTTTTAAATTCAAAGTAAGAGGTACCGTGGAAATATTACGTAAGTGGAAACAATTCCTTTTTTTTTATTATGTTTTCTTTTAATTTTGTTTTATTAATGAAGGCCTTATCGGTGTTGAGATTGACGATTGATTATAAGATAATTTATTTTATATATATCATTAACAATTCTAGACGTGAAACGAAGCGTGGCAGAGAGAAAACAGCAGATCACCAAAAAACTAAGTTCCAGCAAAATACCAGCGTCCAAACAAAAGAAAGAGATTCGCGAGGAAATCATTGAGATTAAAACTCAAATTAAACCCGATATAAAGAAATTTCAAGACATCGAACAACAGGTAAGTTATTATTTATTTTTATTTGAAATATTTACAAAAGTCACTCGTAAAAATCCTCTTCAAGTTTTTTATTATGTTTATAAGTCGAATTGTATCTAGGTAACGAATAATTGTACGATACGGAAAAATAACTTTACGCGAGTTCTAACTTCTCTCTATCTCAAAGCATCTAAGGATAAACGCACCTTTGCTGTAGTTTTGTAACAAACAAACATGGTACTCAGTATTAATAATTCTAGGTCTTATTCTATCTATCCATATATATATTTATTTACTAGCTAGCTTGGCAAACGTTTTTGTCTCTTGTATTTCGACGAAAAGTGGATAACCATAAAAATGGTTCCTTAAAATATTAAAACATATACAAATACTTTAGCGGACATTTTTTTTAGATTATTTAAAGATTTATAATTATTTTTGCACCGCACGTAACGAAAACAAAGATGAATAAATATGTCACGTTTATCAATATTTCCCTCTTAGTCGCTTTGTTGTCCTATAAGTCGCAGCCTGATTTTTATAACCTGAGCGATAAATAGTCCATCAACCACAAAATAATTTTTCAATCCCAACCGGTCATTCCTGAGATAAGTGCGTTTAAACAAACAACCAAACAAACTCTTCAATTTTATAATACTACAGCTGAAGAGTTTGTATAGATATTTTTTAGAATATCATGGTGGTTGCTATGCGTAATATGATATTGGTTATAACATAATTTTGGGAAGATATTAAAATAAATACTTTTAATATTTTTTAAATCGTTCATTTATGGAAATTTGGGTTCCCTATGCTACTAGGGCCCCGTTTCTGTTTAGACTTTAACTTTGGGATTTTGCAAAATTAACACGAAACGTTTTTTCGTCTGAATTGTATTAATATAATTTAACTACACACTAATATATATTACTATTTTAACTTAGCTTTTAAATGTGGTTTGAGTCACTGGTTAGTAAACAAAAGTCAATAACGTGTATTTGGTTATTTCAGGTTAAGGAAAAGGAACCTAAGTTGGAAAGGACTCGATCAAAAACGTCACCAGAAACGATTGAATTGGAAGAGCAAGGAGAAAGTGAAGTTATCGTAGAAAAGAAAGAAGAAATGAAAGAGCATAAAGTTGAACAATTTAGGAAATTTGATCCTTCTTCTCCTGCCAAACCTACACCTAAGCATTTACAACGGCATATGCGTAATGAATCCATGCGGTTTCCTTCAGGCGACTTTTCTAATATAACTATTACTCCGAAAAAAAGCATGACTACTGAAACTGTAGTTAGAGAAAAAAAAGAAAGTTTTTCAAGAGAGGTTATTTCACAAAAGGAAATAGAGAGGGCTAGACTCGAGGAAAAATTGGACGATGGGGAAAGATCACCTGATCTAGTTGAAGAAAAGGATGTAGCTGAAGCAACCTTAAAAGATAAAATAAGCGTGTTTGAAACTAAAATAACAAAAGAACCAGAAATTGTTCCAGCGAAGACAATAAAGTTAACGAAGGAAGCTTTGAAAAAACACACTATGGAGCACGAGCAAAGTGTTGAATATACGCAAGAGTTTATTAGAGAACAAGCAAAACAAATGGAAGCAGAATCTGTGATTCAAAAGGTGGACCTTGAAACCACAAAACATACAGAAGTTGTGAAAACGGTGAAAGAAACTATTCAGCAGTTTGATTCTAAAATTAAAAAAGACGATAAAACAAAATCTTTCACAAAATCTGCACGAACAGATTCAACCATTGTACAGGTATCTTCCGAAGAAGACAATGAATTCCTTAAAAAGTCTACTGACTCTGAAACAGAGACGGAATCACAGACCACAGTTAAAGCTGAAAAGGACAGAATAAGAAAAACGGATTTAGATAAACAAGTATTTCATCCTACAACTACTCTGAAACATAAATTAGACAAAAAAGATGACCAAGACAAAAAAAATGATGACGATGATCGTCGCGACCAGCAACCTATTTTTATAAAGGAAAAAAGAATTGAAAAACAACTAACGGATGAGCTGCGTAGTAAAGTTAGTGAAGAAGAAATAACAGAAACGCTAGAGGAAAAGGACGTTTCCTTGGATGAAAGTAAGGAGAGGGTAAGTTTTAATATTTCCCATCTAATTATTTCTCTGGTTACTATGCACAACTTTTCAATATTTATTTTCACAGGTAACAAGTACCAAATCTGAAACTATCAAGACAATAACAGATTCTGGAGAATTGGGGGCGCGTGAAGAAGAGCAAATAGTGATGCAAGAGTCACCTTTGCCTTCTGCTGCGGAAAAGGCTGATTCTTTGGGCGACTTACAGCAGAGCACTGAAAAAGATATCAGTTTTATTTCACAAACTGAGTCAAAGGTAACGTTTTACTGCGAGTGTTTGTTCATTGTAAAAGAAAATATATAATCAAAATTCGTTTAAACTCAAACTTACAATGTTTAAGTTTAAGTACACTATTCAAAATTCCTAAAACTATACAATTACTTACAACTATAAAATATTTTATTTAAGGTATATTCTAAGCATAGAAGCGACTCATTAGATGAAACATCACAGTTTTCGGATTTAGAGGACCAAATAGGAATGAGTCCTGCTCACAAACCGACACTCGGTAAACAAATTGAAGAACCAGAGGATGTCATTGCAGCAATCAAAATTGAATCGGCGCGAGCACAGACCCAAGAGTTTTTACAATACGAAACGGAATACACTTCCCGTAATCAGATTGCGTTGGGTCAGAAAGAAGCCGACAAGGTAATTAGGAATATATATTCGCGAGAGTAGCTTCTTACTTTTTTTTTGTAAATTTTACTGTGTTTTTATTTGTACAACAGCAACTTTCTTTTTTGTTTATTGTAACTTGAGCGTGGCACCGCTGTCCACACTCCAAGGACTTACTGAAAATCAGTTTCAGGTCAACAAAGGGGCTGATATAAACTGAGCAAGATCCTATTCTACTAGCAGCCTACAACATTATCCTATCTTGTTATATACTGTCTATAGTTTACGCGAGTAGTACACATTTAAAAAAAACACTTTAACGGTTTAAAACGCGATATATTAGTTAAACTTATTTGAAAATGATTTTTAACTTCAGCCCGACATTTCGGATGCTTTGCAGCAGCCGTGGTCACGGAGAGACTAATATATCGCGTTTAAACCGTTAAAGTGTTTTATTTAAACTATCTTGTTATATTAAGTTGTACTGTTAAGATAAAATTGTTTTTTTTTTCTTATGTTTTAGTAATATGTGTAACATGTGCTTTTGTGTGCCTTAGTAGTTAACAAAATTTTTCTTTCTGTACTAATATCAAATATGCTTGATACTATATAAATAAAGATACAGTTATTTCCTATAATGACTTCTAATTAGATTTGTTTCTTTTTTTCTAGATACCGCCTAAAGAATCACCTGTCATAAGCGCAAAAGCACGTCACTTTATTGAAACTGTTCCAGAAGATGATTCAGTGCAGGAATGTTTCTTTTCTAAACGCATATACTCCGATTCATTAGAAGATTCTGAACATACAGATTCTAGGCGACATTCTGAAGCGGATTCTTTAAAATCAGACCAATCTGATATGAAAGCTAAGGTATCATCGTCGGACTTTGATGAAAGAGCTGAATATGAAGCAACGGCTGATTCAGGTAGTGGTTTTGGTGATGAAAAATTTGAAGAAAGCGTAGGGTTTACGTCTATAAGAATCGAGTCTAAACAGTTAGATTCAGATAAACAAAGTACAAGTACAAGTGAAGAAAAAGAAGTAGATGTTGTTTTTAAAAAAATGACTCCGAAACGTCATTCTCGAACTGATTCTGTTTCTATATCTAAGCTAAGTGATTTAATTACGGATACAGAGCCATTAAAAATAAAACAAGAATTTCAAATGATTGTGACAGAGGCAGAAGAAATAGATAAATCCTTCGAAAAAGATGAAATTTCTGACAAAATATCCTCAGAAAGTAGTAGAGAAATTGAAATTTCTGATAGAAAATCATCAGAGGGAGTTTCTGATAGAATAAGTTCAGAAGATGCTGTGACCGACAAGAAAACGTCTTCAGAAGAAGAAGTTCAAAAAGACAGTGAGCAAGCTTTAGAAACAACAAAGTCTGTTAAGGACATGATTAAAAATTTTGAAAATACTAAAACAAGTCATAAAGATGAATACATTGATAAAGGTTTGTAAATTGTAAGTGAAATGAAGAGAATATTATCCATTTCTAAAAATAAATATTTTTTTAGATCTAAAACGTCAATCTGTAGCGTCAGTAGAATCTGGGTCTATTAGCGAGCTACGCCTGGATGAAAAACGGCCATCTGATGCACGCAGTTTAACAGAATCAAAAGATTATACTTTTGAGGAGTCAGAAGATGATATAAGAACTCAGGGCACACATGTGGAGTTAATAGAAAGATTTGATGCAAAGGAGCCTGACAGTAAAACATCACATGGTAAGCGTGACAGTTTTTTTCTGTACAGTACCTGGAATAATCTAAAAAGTTACTAAAATTATGATTCTATATTTTACAAAAAAAAATTTTTCGTCGATATGTATTATGAGTTTCATTATAGAGGGTAAAGAAGAAACGCCTAAAGTGCCTAAGCTAATCCACGGAGATTCATTAGATGATGTAGAAGGCTTTCCTGAAGATCATGTCGCCGATTACATCCACAAATTGCCTCATATAGCTGAAGTCAGGTAAACATACTACGAGTGAATAAGTCTTAGATATGGGCACGCTTTAAATTTATGATATACGACTTGAATCAAGATATTTTTTAATAAATTAATACAAATAAGATATATTAATATAAATCTATCTATTCTAGATTTCGATTGTCGTGCTCCAGCTTCATAGTTCAAGTAGTAGACCAACGGTCATATTTTCGAAATATACAATAAAATTAAAACCAATTTGATTTTTTCTTTACAGCGCAGACAAAATGATAACTAGTCAGTTTTTAAGTAAAGAACGAGGAGAACAGGTTCACATGGAAACCAAAGATGATAAAAAATACGTAGGTATTAGTGATCGAACTGAAGATTTTAAATCTGATTTTGTGCACGAACTTGAAAATAAATCTAGAGAACCAGAATCTACCTCAGATTTACTAGATGAATCAAAAGAAACAAAACTTGAAGAAAAAATTGGCCCAGAAGGTGAAAGAATCACGGTAACCACAGAAACGAGTGTAGTTTCTAGCCAAGACGGAGGTGAAACAATAATAACAACAGTTACAGAAAAAAAGGTTTATCCTTCAGGTCGAGAGACAGTGTCTACAAAGATTTCCGAAAAAACTGTAACTGAAAAAAAGTAACTACTCTACCCTTTCATCTAAATTATCAGAGGAATTGAAATCTTTTAAAAAAGACGACAAAGTGAAACGAACTTCTACCGCTACTGAAACGATCGTTAAACCAGAAGGCGAGACAGTTACTACTACTACAGTTATAGAAACTTTCGATACACCAGAAGGGGAAATTACAAAAAAAACTGTTACTGAAAAAACGGTTTATCCATCTGGACGGGAAACAATTTCTACCAAGGTATCGGAATCAATGAAATGTTTTATCCAAAAAGTTATTAGTGAAGAAGAAGATATAAAAGCCAGTGTCACGGAAATATCACCATTATCCAAAGTTACGGAGAGCAGAAAAACGGAAAAGAAATTTGAAAAACAGGAAGACTCAGTATATGAACCTAAATTTGATGTCACGAAAATAAGAACTGATACACTAAGTAAACTGGAAATTGCTGAAGCAATGGGGGATGAAAAAGATCTAAAAAAGGCGGTTCCGTCAGATCTAACACTGAGAGATCTATCAGATATTACAAAAGAACAAATAAAACCAGTAATAGATGATATACTACAAAAAGGTACCATAGCAGCTGCTACAAAAAGTCCTACTTCTGAAAAGGACTTCAAAGTTAAAGAGACCGTGGAGTTGGAAAAGAGAAATTATGATGCCAAAGTTCCCCATAAAGAGGAACGCCGACATTCTTGTGTCAGTCCAGCAATTTCTTTAGAAAGAATAGCCGAATCTGAAATCGAAGCAGAAGAAGATATACTGAGACTCACAAAAATCCCGTCATTTGTCCAAAAAGATAGCGCAAGAATAGAATTAAAAAAGTCTGACTCTACTATGAAGCAAATGGCAGACAATATAGAAATCATAATAAAACAGGCTTCCGAAGAAGTTGACATGTCATCGGAAGAACCTGTTTTCGACTGCGATGTATCCCCAGACATTAAGTCAAATATCGAAGATAATGAAACTACTTACGCTGTCACTGTCGGCAAGAAAGAAGATAAGTTCAAACGAGATATTAATAAAGACATCAGCCTCGAAGACACTAAAGTAATTAAGGAAAGACCTGCTTTGATGAAATCTTTATCACGTGATAGCGGGGAAGTTGTCATAATGCCAAAGAAAAAGCACGTAAGAACATTTTCTGTACAAAGTTCACCTGAAGAAGTGGAAGAACAAATTTATACAGATTCAGAATCGGGTAAGGAATATTATTTTGTATGTTACTTTACTTTTACTGCAAATGAGAGTATATTCAAATTTTATTTTTAAATCCTTCTAAAATTTCAAGTAATGCACCTTAAACATAATATTTTGAAGCATAATGAACAAAGGGAAAATCGTTCCTGACGACGACCAAATATGTTAAACATCAAAACATCCATTACTTTTTTATTTTACGAAATTAATAATAACTAAAAAAATATAATAATAAATCCATATCAAATTTAACGTAAGATAACGTTAATAACGTCCAATATTCAATGATTATTTATATTTTTTTATTTTGCTTTTTACATGCAAAGACCAAGTAAAAAATTTGTTATCAACGCGCTATCGATTGACATCTTGAATCACTTGACACATATTATATTTTGTTATTGGTCACGAAAAAATTTAGTCAGGTCCACTACCTATACAAATTTGGCCATTGTTCTTTATTAGATAAAAGTAATTATAAAAATGGGTGGGGACTTGAGGCGACACCGACGTTCCGTGCTGCTGTTAACCAATTGAGCTATCGTGTCACACGTACTATACAGTACAGTTTTTTAAATTATATATTGCCAACATGTTACATATTATAAACTAGCTGTTACCCACGACGTCCCCACGTCCCGTCGTTCTTACAAGTTAATCTCAAAAGATAGACATACACTGTCGCAGACATTTTTTGAGATTACTTAAAGAGGAATATTTCTTTCTTTCTTTTGGAAACGGTTAACCGTTTTTGCAGCGTACGCGACGAAAACGGTTTTTCCACATTTCCCGCTATTTCTTCGCTCCTATTAGGCCCAGCGCGATGTTTTATAGCCTTCCTCGATAAATGCTCTAACCAACATAAAAATAGTGTTTCAATTCGAACCGGTAGTTCCTAAGTTAAGCGCGTTTTAACAAATAAACTCTTCAGCTTTTTATATTAGTAAAGATATTAAAATTATATATATAATCTAATATATTATGTATTCCTTATTACAGATATGGATAAAGCAAAAGTGTTGGAAATAATTGAACCTACATCCGACATGGAATGCAAAGTTATCTCAACAAGTTTTGATACAAGAAAAATACGAACCGACTCCTTAGACGATGCCGATGATTTTCCAGAGAAAGAGGTAAACTTTTGGCTTATATGTATTTGCAACTTAATACCATGAAAATGTCTGAGTAATAAATAAATGAAATGTTTTTTTTTTTCGTTTAATACAATTAATATAATTTTTGTCTGCCATGTCGAAGTGATATTGACAGGCTCATTAGAGTAATGTTAGCAATGTGTAGCACCGTGTCCAAATTCAAAATAGTCGACAGTGTATCTGCTGCTGCTACGCTGATATGCTGTCGACCTGTCTGTGTAATATTTTTTCACTTATAATAAAGTAAACCTCAAGCTTGTCTGTTTGCCTTTATCACAAAAAATATATTGAATCTATTTAATGTCGATTTATAGGGCGACTTTTTTGAAGAAGGTAAACCCCTTTCGGAACCCGTGCATTTTGGAGAAAATAATCTTCAAAAAAAGTCTCAGGAGCCGGGCTCTAGTGGTAACCAGGGAACCACGGTAGAAAAACAAACGGATAAATTTGTTAAGAAAACTCATTTTGTGGACAGTATAATGCGATCGGACTTAATTTCAAAGTCTACGACTGAATCGTCGGTTACAACAGTTATTTCTACATTAACGAAATCCTCAGAGGAAGATCAAAAATCGGTATTAGAAGAAGGCACATCGGGAGACTTCTCAAAATTAAGTGGAGCCGATTTAATGAAAGATTCGTCAAGAGCTTCGTTAGATCATAAGGAAGAAGATAAAGTTGAAGAACATTTCGAGGACCGAGCTACTCCTGATTTGTCAAAAAAATCGCTAGATTTGACTAAAGATTATTCAAAATCTTCAATCGATAGTAAAGATACTTCGAGAGATTTTGCTACAAATGAGTTATCTAAAGACTCTACTGTTGACTTAACTAAAGATTTCTCAAAAACATCAATCGATAGTGTTAAAGAAACATCTCGATCACTCGAAGAGAAAACATTTTCTGAAGATCACTCGTCTATGGATGCTTCTAAAACATTGGCATCCGATGCTTCAGATGGCATAACGGTTAGTAAGGATTTTATTGAAGAAGAAAGATCATTTTCAAAGGGACAGCACGTATTATCAAGCTCATCTCATGAAACTTCATTGATGACAGAGAGTAAATTTTTAAGTGACCTCGATGACACATCAGTAGGCAAAACCAGAACTTTTGACACAGAAAAAAATCCTGAAGTTACGGAAACGGATGAAAATCTGAAAGCACAAGGAGAAAAAACATCTCTAACACTTGACGGCCATAACATAGTCACTTCAAAAGAAGAAAAAGTAACAGAGATAGTTAGTAAAGAAGAAGAAATTGAAAGTAGAGACATGACCGAACTAAATAGGAGGTGTTCCAGTCTCCTTGAAGATATATCAACTCAAGGTGCTCTAATCAGAATTGATGCAAGCCATATAACACATGGTAAAATTCTTATTATAACACATTAAAAATATTATTATGATAACCAACAAATCTATAATTTGAGAAATTTTTAAATTATTTTGCAGACCTAGTAACGAAACTATCGAAGACTCCTCCCCCGTCCCCCGTAGATCTAATAATGCGCGACAAAACGAAACCTGGGGATGGTTGTGGCGATAAACAGTCCGGGCTACAACTAACAGGTACATTCAATTGTTTTTCCGCGCATTCTACAATTCTACTCATGTTTCTAGAAACAACATTGAATATTTGTAATATCTATCTAGGTTCGGAACCCTACTTGGATGCAAGTAGACAGTCGCCGCGAGCATCATCAGGTGGTGATAGCCTTATCAGTGAAACGGATGCTCATCAAAGCGGTATGCTTTTATCTAATATAGAATCTGCTATTTACTCATCCATAGATAACAAGGAACATTTCAGTAGTATATATTTGAATTTAAAAATAACATTTACGTATTAATAAATGATACTATACAAAACATATATTAATTTTAAATTGTGTGACAACGAATGCTGCCAAATAAACAAGCTTTTACATTCATTAGTGGCAAAGATTTGTAGTGTCATGGCGAAACTTTACTCATTGTCAAGTAGACACAGAATAATTTATTTTCGCCACACTTTTTGTTTATGCCGATATGTATCGCATGGTAATATAGACATTCATTTTCACTCATAAATGTAACCTCAGCATAAGTATTGTAGGTAAATATGTAATCTACTCGTCACATACGTTTTCAATTAAATACACGATAGGACAGAACATCATTTGTTTTGCGATGGTCACTCAGCAATGATAGTAAATTGAAAGGCACAGTAAAGTTTATTTTTTTTCTTGCGGAGCCCTTACGTTGCTTTAGGTAAGTGGATCCACGGAGCAATATGTACGTGTCTTAGCTTTTTTATAGAAATACTGTGTTTTATCTCTTTTACACAGTTTGTTTGAACATTGTGTTACACTCTGGAGTAACGTTTCGCTTTGATCACAGTCTTTCTTGTTTTTTTCTCGACTCATTTCGCAAGCTTTTGCCACATATCATCTATAGTACGAGCTGTAATTGGCATTAAACCATTCATTTTATAACGTTTTGTGCTTTGATTTACTCTTAACATGTTTTGTATATCAATCGACTCGACAATGTATTACATAAGCAATTAAAGGAACATCATGCACATAATAAACAATATGCACATTTTCCGATGATTATAAAATTCTGAGACACATTATTAATATTTTATGATGTTCCATTTCAGATATCTTATCGGAAGCATCAAAGGTCCTAAGAACTGCCGCAATACCAAAATCACCAACAAAACATTTGGCCGATAATATGGCATTCGTAAATGTCGACCAACCAACTATCACCAGTGGCGCGAAAGACCTTGTTGATCGAACTATTGAAAAAAGTATTGACGTTATTGATCAAATTAAAAAGGAACAACTTGCAGTTAAAATGGAAGAATTGCAGAGATCGACATCCTCTGATACATTTTATAAGGAATCGCGTGTAGAAACCTCTACGTCGTCGTCATCAGTTCACAAAACTGTAGAAGGATCCCAGTTGGTTTTTCAAAGTATAGACCCTAATGCAGTTATGTCTGATATGATCTCTAAATTTGGGACTTTAAGTGAACACGGTACCGTTCTATCGCATAAAGAAACAGAAACTACGAAAATATCAGGTCAGGAATATTTCTCCGAAACAAAGCAAGTGTCATCTTCGGATGATGATTCGCTTATTATTAAAACACAAAGAAGTCATGAACTTAGAGGCCAAGAGCATGAAATAAAAGAAAAAATGACAATACGAAAAGATGGAGACCAAACAGAAACATCGCAGAAAAAAATGGAAAGAGCTCACGAAGCGACTGCTAAAAGGTCTGATATTGAAACAAAAACTGTTATTAAGAGTACAGATGATACAGACATTGTAAAAGTTGAAAGAGAATTTTTAGAACAAGGTTTGTATAGTGGAAGGCAAACTAAATCCGAAGAACGTATGACAGCCCTTAAAGATGACACAGTCAAGAAAAAACACGAAATCAAAATATCTGAACGTGATTTATCACACGAACAATGGGGAAAAGAATATTTTACCCAACCAGGTGAATTAGAAGACATACATGAAGTTGACGACTCAAAAATTAAAGCTTTCGTAGATACCTCTTTGAAAATAATCGAAAAAGATGAAGTAGTATCAACAGTCGAGGTATCAGAGAAGGGAAAGGTAGTTAGTTCTAAAGTCGAGCACCATAAAGATGAATCTGTAATTGAAAGTAAAGAGCACGATGATTTAAGTTCAGATGTTTCGCATACCCATAGTTTCAAAAGTGAATCTGCTGAAAGGCGTAGTTCTACTGAAGAAAGTCCAAAAAGCAAATCTAAATCGTTTAAAAAAGAGGACGAAACGTATGAGGTTAATTTTATTAAAGAAATAAAAATATCAACCTCACCTGTCAAAAGTAGTTTTAGTAGAACTGGAAGCCAAGATACACATTCTGAATCTGAAGTCGCACCTGAGTTGCCTCAAGACGCTGACACACCCAAAAAAGAAAAACTCTTAAAATCACCTGTGAAAATTCCTCAACACCAAATAGAAGAACAAATTTTAGAGGTATCATTTAAAAATTCCGAGGAAGGAGATGTAATTATTGACAAATCAAAATCAACAGTATTTCAATCTATTGATAGCACTATTACAAAAAGTTCTGATAGTGATACAGTATTAGAAATAAAACCAACCGAATTGAAGACGGATTTGACAAGTAAAACAGACATTATATCTCCTAGTACCTTAGAAGGTTCTGAAGAAATAAGTACTTCTAGAGATATAATGGTAAAATCTGCCGATAGTGTAGACACAGAATGTATGATTAAGTCATTAGAATCACACGAAGCAGAAATTCTACAAAAGTCTATGGATTCTACAGTTAGCGCAGAAACATTACATCCATCAGAATTTTCTACTGAAGCAGATTCTGCATTTCTTACTGGAACTGGAACAGATCCAAAAAAAGAAGAAATGAAATTAACAAAAGAAAAGAGCACTGAAGACATATGTAGTAGTGGCTATGATACTGATCTATCTTCTGCTGAATTTCAAGCAGCAAAACAAGAAAAAGAAAAGATTGACTTGGATTCCTTAATTTCAACTCAGCCATTTACTGACTTATCAGTCTTAGAAAAAACTATTGATGAAGTGAAACAATCCCTAGAGGCGGCTCAGGGTGAAATAATTAGTGAAAAGAGTGATGGAAGTATAAAGTATAAGCAATCACCGTCGGAATTTCAATTTAAAATACTGATTAGCCCCGATAGACCTGAAGTCATTACTGAGGAGCCTTTGGCCATTGAAGATTTAAGTAAATCTTTAAGACAAATAGAAAGAGAGGATAAGAGTCAAATCTCTGAGAGTATTTCACAAAAAATCAGCTCTCAAGAGGAAATAAGTTTGTCAGACACTGATCTTAAAGACACAGTTCATATTAAAGAATCCAGTCCACCCTTAGATGTTGACACGTCTATTAAGTCAGATAGTGGGCCTCATTCAATCTTAGAAACTGAAAGTGAAATTTTCTCTGATAGAGAATTATCTTCAAAAGGTAGCCCAGAAGTAAAACTTAGAGTCCAAAAACACATCAAAACAAAACTAGGAGTCGGAGAAAGGCGATCAGCATCGGATATTGAAGGGTGGTCAAGCTCTGGAGAAAGTCACTATCACAGTTTCGAACATTCAGAAAGTAGACCTCTGTCTTCTGATATTGAAGTTATGATGACAGCACAAAGCGGTACGGAGTTTGAAACAGCGTTAACAAGTCACGATGTATCCTCACAATCGCTCAGAACTTCAAAAGATTATTATACAGCCTGCAGTTCACTTGCATCAAGGGATAGTGTAAAAAGCTTAGACTCGGATGGTTCGAGTCATATAGCAAGTATAGATATATCAGATGCATCAGAAACTTTGGTACCATCGGCAAATGAGCTAAAGGAAGAATTAATGGAAAGTAGTACATATATTGAACAATTTTTACATGAGACTGAGAAGGATAAAAAGATTTGCGATGTAGAAGTATCCGGTGATGAAGAGGATTACAAAGAAGACGCCGTTGAACCTATTAGTAAAATGAAACGTTCACATGAAATGAGGTTTCAACCCAAAGACATGATCCCTGAACACTTTCCATTAACAACGACTTCAGAAAGTACGGAATTTGATGAAGACTCTTTAAAAGACAAAGAAATATCAGATACAACTATTTCGAGTCAATTAAAAACGGACGAAATTTTATCATCATCCATTTCTAAAGTTGATATGTCATCATCAAAATCACAGTTAGATTTGAACAAAGAAGAAATAATAGAGACTGTAATTAAAGCATCGTCACGCTCTGATCACACTGTCCCATTCTCAGTAACTAAAATTGAAAGACCTCAAAGAGAATTTGTTGATGTTGACAGTCAAATTATTCCAGTTGGTTCTGTAGAATACAAAGAAATTGAACAGTTTGGTAGTATTATTACTGATTCTACTACAAAAACATTTAAAAATGAAACAGTTATTGAAAAAACCATTTTATCAAGTGAATCTAGTGTACCTATGAAAAATGAAACTTTACCAGAAGTTGAAGTCAAAGAAGTATTTGTGAAAAAAACGGTGCATGAAATAGAGGCTGTACCGTTTCCGATAACTGATAAACCCACACGATTGCGAGAATTTGTTGACATTGAAGAAGACATTATTCCAGTAGGCTCTAAGCAATATGAGGAAATATTAAAATCAAAAAGCGATTCCTCGGTTCCTAAAACCAAAGCTGAAAAATCTGTTATTATTTCTGAAGAGGGTAAATTGGATAGCAAACCAAGTTCATCATCTAGTTTAAAAACCCAAGAACATATGTCAACTCCGCATACTCCACTATCTGCACCTAGTCAAAGTTCCATATCTACTGATAATGGACGTGAATATATATTAGATGATATTTATGATATATCAGAAACACCAGAATTGAAATCCGAAATATTTACAGAAAGTAGTAAATCAGAGCTCTTAGTTACTACCGACGATAGAACGTTACGTCATTTTGAAAAAGACCAAGATTCTCCAACTAGCGACGAATTTGAAATAGTTGATAAGCCGAGCGAAATAGATGACTTTGTTGTGATAGAAGAGGTGGCTAAAGAAGCTCAAGAAACAGATCCAGAAGGGAAAAGTTTGCAGATTAAAGCACAAAAATATGTTGCACGTCATGACACTGAAGTAGAAGAATACCTGACAAAAGCATCAAAGAAGCAAGAGAGTACGAGTAGCACTTCCGGATCGTCTGATGATGATATGCAATATGAAATGGAACAAAGAAAGTTAAAAGCACAAGAGTTAGCCGAAATAGAAGCAGGTAAACGTTGGATTCAAATGCAGTTTGAAGGAGATCCTCGATATGACTACGAAAGAATTCCGTTAGAGGATATAAAAGAAGAGGAAATGACAGATTTTGATGCTAGTAGAATTGGCAGTCTTAGTTCTCAAAAGGAATCAATAGGCAGTTACGGAAGCTTCAGGAACTCATACGGAAGTCTATCTGAATCGGAAATGGCTTCACGTATGAGGTTTAGGATCAAAGGTGAAAATGATGATATATCAATAAGTTCTCTTCAAGAGTTTGAAAATCTTGAAAGAGCTTTAATGGAACAATACCAGCAAAATTCTTCATCATCTCAGGATTCTCTTAATGGATCTTTACCACGCAGATATGTTTTAAGTAAAAGTCAAGGAGAAGAGATAGAAATTTCTAGTTTAAAAGAATTTGAAGGGTTAGAGTCAGCTTGTTTAGAAGCACTAAAAGCTGAACTTCTCGCTAAGCAAAAAGAAGCTCTTTTGCTTGCAGATCCCAAAGTAGTTAGCGGAAGCTTCTTAGAACAAGAAAAACGTTCCTATGATAGTAGTTCAGACAGTAGTCCACCAATAAAGAGCGGTAGTCCTAGTCAAAAATCTGGAAGTCCGTCACAAAAGAGTGGTAGCCCATCTCAAAAAAGTGGGAGCCCATCGCAAAGGGTTGGAAGTTATGGTAGTCCTTCCCAGAAGTTACTAGCAGATTCGGCAGCAATAAGAAAATTAATTGACCAGCAACTAGCTTTGGAACAACGTATGCAGGAATCACGGCCAAAAATTGTAACCGTCAAGAAATACGACGATAAGGGCGCTTATTTTGTACCCGTACCCGAACCAGAAATATCTGAAACAAAGTCGGTCGAAGTTACTGAAGAATGTAAAAAAACATCATCATTTGTTTGTGCTGCAGCTCCAAGTGATGGGTCTGCAGAGTCCATTCCTGGAGACTGTGAGGAAATGATGAAGATTTTAGATCAAGAAGAAAAAACAAAAGATAGAAATCAAGCGCTTTTTGATGGAAGAACAACTGAAGTAGTTAAAATGACTACAGTAATTACACAGCGTTTTGTTGATGGTAAAAAGATATCGGAGACCGTTTCAGGTTTAGAGGGCTCTGGAGGAGTTGACATACCTGCTAGAATTACGCATTACGATGAAACCGGAATGTCTCTTAGCTCAGAAATGTCATCTTCTTTAGCATCACAACCTTCAGAATTGGATAGTTTAATGACAGTTGTAGAGAGGCAGAACACAGAAGATGAAATCGTTTCCTTCTCTAGACAAACGTTGACATTATCCGCGGAAAGGCCAGAGGACTTAGACTTCTCTAGAGAGGGAAGCGTAATACGCGAACTATCGCCCTCCTCTGGGAGGTCGGTAGCTCATAGTATCGTTTCTGGTAAACATTTTACAGATCCCGCTAGTGGTTCATGGAGCGCTCAAGACGAGGAACTGAGTTCATCCGGAAGTTTCAGCAGGTAAATATTAGGTGGTGGTATATAATAATATAAGAATAGTCATATTTATAAATATTTTGATAATATGAGCGTTTTGGTTTCACCTTATTAATATTCAAAATAAATAAAAGGATGGAGCATTTAAGAGACCCATTCGGTTTAAAATTCCCTACGCCAAGGAAACATTTAATCTAAACTGCCACTCGAAGCCAGACCTTCGTGACATTGACAACAAAGCAGTTTTTATACTTACCAAGTAACGTTTTTGCCTTATAGAGCTCGTGCGGACCTTATGCTTGGCAGTACAGACAGCTTAGAAGCAACAAGCTCAAATGCCACACGAGCCACTTACAATTACGAGGTCGACACCCCAATGACTGGAAGCCTAACTTCTGGAGGTACGTAATCTTTTTTAATTTTCCTGTGTAACCGCTATTATGTTTCCAGATGCGTCTGTTAACTACTTCGTTCCTCTACTGGTGAGACTGCTCAGTTTAAAAAATTTTCGCTAATCATTAACTGTTTTGTATATACGCTTTATCTACAATTACTAGCAAGATCTTTCAGTATGTTATTTTATATGTAGTGTTTACTGTAAGCAACAGTGCTGTAATTAGTGCTACAATAAAATTACTATTTGTGAAATAGTTAACAGTTTTATTCCACTCGTATATACTAATGCTGTACTAACCTCAGCCGATTTTCGTTGAGACTATATCCTCGCTTCTAATGCTATTTCCTCTTTCTATGTGCCATCGCTACCCCTCTGAGCTTTTACTAATCAGAAAGATAACAGCGGTCCCACCTCTAGGGTCCAACACGATGGTGTCATCTCTGGATACGCTGGACCCTGTGACCGCGGTACAAATGGAGAGTCTTGAACATCAGTCCATGAGTGAACATTGCTCACAATTTGAAGTCCACGAACCCGATTCGGATACAGAGAGGCTGGTGAGTGTTTCTCGATAAACATATAAGTTAATAATAAGTAACAGTATATTTTTTGGGAACGGATCAATGAAACGAACACAAAAATGTGTTCGCCCCATGGCCCACGAGAGGGAAACGGGATTTCACTTTTTTAAATAGTATATTTTGAACACTGGAATTTTCGCTTTATATAGATAGCCTTTTAATGTATTTTCTAAATATGTAAGAATGTTACTTTGTGTAATGTATCTTATACCGACCTGACCGGGGGTGGTTTTTGGCTGTAAACGAAGCCGTCTGATCGGCTTTAGACCTTATTATAGATTATATCGTGTATAAATCTATAATTAAGCGCTCATGAACTATCGGCTTTGTTAACATTTTTTACTCTTCAAAATGTTTTTGAGTATTATTTTGTATGTACCAAATACAATGTAACCTGCGTTTGACTTTATATAAAAGAGTCTTAATCATAGTTTCTTGAGACCTGATGATAAATGATTTTATTTTTCAGGAATTGGATGGCCGCATACCAAAAACAAAAGAACGCACAATAATGTTTGATAGCACGGACACGTTGAGTGCAGTTAGCGCGGACAATTCTGTCAGAGAGGCTACGATTGAAGGGCCCGCTGCAACCTTTTATATTGGAGATACGCCAATTTTAAGAGGTAAAGGATCCAACGGTTAAATAGAGTTTAATTAAAATGCACAAATCAAAACCAGGTAGACAGTTATTTATATTTCTGATAGAGGGGGACGCACAAAAATGGGATTCGCTCGATGAAAGATAACATACCCCAGCCATATATCTGAGATACGCCGTCGACCTATTGTCTTTGAAGTTCGGATACTCGAAATTTCACAGACTGAAACCTAAACGCGATTAAACTTCACGACTTTTTCATTTGCCAACCATCTATTTAATATCCAGCTTATTCGAAATGTCACAGAAAAATTATAAATCGATTAGCAATGTGTTGAGCCCGCTGGATATCAAACTCATGAACCGTTATTATTATCCTGTTGATTACATTAACTAATTTACCAATATTTATTTATTTAAGAAAACAGAAAACAAACAGAAATATTACAGCATCATATTATAAGGAATTGAAAACAACACAGATAAAATAAAGGAAATATATATAGTAACAGACGGACAAGCTCGTCTTAACAACCTTCCGTCTTATCTTTATTTCTTCAAATAAACGATAAACTGTATTTATATGTGATCTAAATCAATTAACATATACATTTATATTTCCAGGAGAACGACGAGATGAGGAAGACCAGCCGACAACACTCTCCGGTAGCTGTCCAGCATCATTGCCGCCGACTACGCAATCACCTACGCCCATACCTGCTCAAAGAAGGTAGCAACATTGAAAAGTGTATATATAAATATGTGTGACCAAATCCTTTGATTAGTCACTTTAGCCACTTCGTATTGCACCAAAAGAATAATTCATCATTCTTTCAATATCTTATTTTATTTACATTTTTTAAATGAGCTAGTGTCTCCTGCTAATTAGGTTGTCGTTTATGTTAAAATGCTCTGTCGATTTGAATTTATTTTATGATTATTTATTGAATGTGTTGTGGAGATATCAAAATTCCATCCGGGTCACGGATACTACGTCTACCACGAGTCGAGAAGTGAATAGTCACAAATTTTCTTATTCAGTTTACCTCACGCTTGTTCCTCGTCTTCTAATGTATAAATACTATGTTACCTACCTCACATCAAATTTACATACACGCTTTTAGCTGACACGTTAAATTCACTTTGTAAGTACGTGACATTTCTACATTATAAAACGCCAGAATACCAGCTTCTCTATCCAAATTTATCAAGACGTGACTTTTAGATTTTCTAATCTAAAAGTCACATCTTGCTACATTTTGTCGTTATTGCGACATTTTTCTAACCTTTGCCTGAGAACTTTGAACTGGCTCCTTTAGTTTTATCATATTTGTTTTGCTAGCACTTAGATAATAGCTTGTTATATCACCATTATCTGCTCGTAGGCAACTCATTGTTGAATTATTTTAAAAATTCGTGATTACCGGAATATAACACGTCCCATCCCATCAATTAGGTTACCTAGCTGTTAAAGTGATAACTAAAATACATATTATCATTGCAGCTGCTATTGCTTAAGTCACCCCCAGAACAAGACCGAAAAATAGGTACACTGTTTTTATTGTATCGCTTGGTTTTGTTTGCTTCATCTAAAATATATTATTTGCACGTTTCGTTTGTTCGATCACAACTTTTGTTTGGGTTTTGCTGTTTGAGCTTTACAGGATTGGTTGAAATTCATTTTGATGTTTCATTAACGTTTGATCGGAAGAGAGTTTTACTAACCGATACGGATATATCGATATCGAAATTAAAATTTTCATGTGCTTTTGATTCCAGATCGTTGACAATGATCGCCAAGCCTCCAAACACAAGCTTAGAGGAAGAAGCAAAGAAGTAATTTTCTAATACATCTTAAGCCCGTTTTTTAAGCGATTCCAATTTTGTTGTTTCACGAATATCAATTAGGATACGGCTATGTAAAGGGCTTTACTATTTTTGATGCGATGCTTTAGCAAACACTCCAAAAACTTTTCCGTCAGCGAGACTATAAAATCAAATAACTATTATGAGGATTAGAGGAAGTTACTACACCCAAGTTTTGATCCCAATTAACCATATATGTAGGTGTTCAGGCTCATTACACTAGACTATAATATTTTGGTACTAACTTTTGTACTGTACGTCGGACTCCGGTTGTCCATGTAACTTTGACTTCGGGCTGAGGTCTTCTGTCACATTTCGGTTACTTACGAAGGTTTTAAATCGCTTACTTCAGATACTTATAACTACTTATACACATTTATTTCCACACGTTTTTGATGTACTCAATACCAACTATTAATGTAATGTATGGTTAATAATCGACGGGTCGTGGGTTCAATCACCACTGGATCCAACTTTTTTCCAATGAATTTTTAATTGTTCTGAAACACGTAGTCCACGTCTGGAAATCTGGATATCAAATTGGTGGTAGGAACCGTCCACAGATGCAAAGCCGTCAAGTTTAATCGCGTGTCGGGTTCAGTCTGTGGTTTTTCGAATATCCAAAGCTAAAATAGGGCAGAGTCGACGGCGCACCTTGTTTAGATGTTATATGGCTGTGGTATTTCTAGAGCACCCCCCGCCTCTTCTGTCCTTCTCTATCTTAAAAAAAATGTAATATATGAACACTAAAGGTAAAGCTTAACATTTTTCAAATTTTTCCTCTATTAACGTATTATTTTAAAAGCTAAAGCTTTAAAAAAAGTGCTGAAAACTCTTTTTAAATATCAGTCTTTCAACTGTTATTCAGCCACTTCATCATTATCTCCGTAGTTAAGCGAGGGGTTGGGTTCGAATCCCAGGAAATATAATAACTTGAGGTTGAGACTACTTGTCTATTCAAATCGACCTATATTAACACAAATATACAAAATTGATCCTAGTAAAGGAAACGGAATTTCTCTTTTTTTTATACAGTTATTGTCTTTGATATACCGACCTAAATACCGAGTTTTAATCAGTTTAATAATTAAAAGTCGATTTAAGATCTCAGCCCTTTTAGGGCACACACTTGACTTAAACGAGATTTTTTTAAACGTAGATTCAAGTACTTCTGTTTTTGAATATATTCAGACTAACGCCATCTGTTATTTATATTAGTTGCGCACTTATTATACATTTTAATTTTTTTATAGTTAAAGCCACTGGTGTGTCCACGGACTATGAATAGCTTAGTTCTATGATGTATTTGAATATCGCTTACTATTTTAAAACATGTACCTATGTAAGCATAAGTCAAGTTTTTATAGATTTTTTGACTATCAAAAGATAAAATTTCCTACAATATCTGTCCTATATACAGATTATACTTTGATAGAGGCAGGCAATCGTTTCTATGTATTCTACTGGAATATGGGATCCGAAGAGAACTTTTTATACATTAAATTATATAAAACTGTCAGTAATATCTGAAATATATTTTTTTGCAAAACTGTGCAAAGAAATATTTGATCTTTAAAACTTTGAACAGCTGACTTTCATTTTTATCTGTTTAAGTTTGGTTAAATTTCATTTATTTGGTGTCTGAACTGTTCAGTGAGGTGTCTAATAGAATACGTAGGAACCATTGTATAAAATTACGTTTATCATGCACAACTTCTTAATAAGTAGTTAGGTAGAAGTACAATGTAGGTTAAGCTAGCTGTTTTACGGCCGATTTTGTTGTACAAAGCTTTCCTTTTAAAGTGTCTAACGCTTATTTATTTTACTAGAAAATTCTTAACTACGATCACATTTGAACACGACTTTTTAACACTGCAAGGCACAATTTCACCAAAAAATAACATCGATTAAAATTGACCATCCGTTAAATTATATCTATCTGTCAGTTGACATTGACAACCATTAATTTTCTCGATCAGTGTTATTAATCATCGGTGAAATAGACCTGCAGAAAGCAGCACTATAGTGGGGACCGGGTACAAAAAGTCGCACATGAATTCTTGTTTAATTAGGACTATAAAAAGGTTTTAAACGTTAAATCCTTATCATCTTCAATGACTTTGAAGCTCCAAAGCATAGGACATTAAACTTTAAATCGCAAGAGTTAACGTTGAAATTACAATGCGCAAGCGGTACACATAGGTTGAAAGAATTCGACGATGACGGGTAGCCGGTGTCGTGACGGTAGCTCAATTGGACGGTAGCACGGAAAGCGGTGGATGCCGATGCAAGTCCTGCGCTATCGTAAAATTCTTTTAATCTAAAATCGATTTTTAATTTGACTAGGATTAAATTCTTTAAAATTGTTGCCATATTATTGTTAAAGCTGGCGTATGACACGGCTTGCTCACTTCCAGTTTTTATAAGCATTTTATTGGGAGGAAAATTATTAAGAGACTGAACCGAGATCCGGGATTGGAGGTGGACTTGCGAGGAGTAGCAGAGCAATCGTTTTCATATCGAAATGAAATGCTAACGCATGCGCACTAGGGGCACGAAAATCAAATTCATCATTGTCATATTTATGGGTAGATGTTAAACCATTTTCGCAGCGCACGCCACGGAAACCCTCAAAGATTAATTTTCCCCGTTTTTCCACAGTTTCTCAGCTCCTATTGGTAGCCTTGTGTTTTAAAGAGCATTACTCGATAAATGGTCTCTCCAACACTAAAATAATTTTTCAATTCGAACTAGTACTAACGAAGTTCAGGCTTTAATTGTGGGGCGTTGCCTTGCGCCATTTTGTGGTATTAAATATTGACTTTGGAGAGTGTATATTCTCCTTTATATCAGATTTACAATAACTAAAGGGACACTAATAACTATGAAATCATGAAATTGATTGTCGTGGCTCTAGAATTGAACTTAGCCATTATATATAGTAAATTATGTTAATATGTGTGCTTAAGTCAATGTTAAGTAAGCTAAGTGACGTCAAGTTGGCGAATTTGTATTAAGTTTCTATATAATTTGCTATGTTAGATTGTTTTCCGTTGTATTTGTAATGCTGAATATTCTATTAATAAATAATATTGAAATAAAACGCTACGTCTCTCTCTTCATTTGTTGTTTTAGTAGAGGTGAAAAATAAACAAACACATACTGATGGAGAGTATATTAATGTAACAAAAACGCAAAACCGTATAAAAATTTACTACATTTTGAAAGAAACGCCTATAAGACACAAATAAATAGAACTTAATTTTATAACAAGTTTTAAGAGTACAAAGCGGGGGGTTAATTTTATATTTACATAATAATACCATGACAATCCTTGCAAACACACGCAAAAAGGTAGTTTTTAAAAGTACCGTTACTTAAGTCTATAGTTTAAGCGAGAAGTACAAATTTAAACGGTTTAAAACGCGGACTCTTCCCCGTGACCATGGCTGCTGCATCCGAAACGTCGGGCCGTAGTTACGACTACAGTTCATGTAAAAATGTATTATTTAAAACTACCGTTACATTTTCGTTTTAATCAGTATTACAAAGGCATACAGCTAGTATAATATGATGAATTTGTATAAATCTACTGTAATTTCGCTCAAATTAATCAAATTTTCAAATAAGTTTAACTAATATATATCGCGTTTTAAGCCGTTAAAGCGTTTTGTTTAAATTTGGAGACGTTGTACGTCTCAATTTTATTTCTATAAGTTTAATATTAAATGATGGGATAACTGAAGCTAAATATGATCATCAGAATTAATTGTTGCATGATTGTACAATAAAAATCGCGATGCTTTTTAGTCATAATAATTCAGAATAATTTTAACTATTGGCACATACGTTGCACAACTTTTTTATTAACTAAAACGAAAGCTCATCAAATAAAAGATCGACTCTTAAGATCTCTGCTTCAAATCGCTTTCATTCTTACTTCTATCCTCTCTTAAATATATTATGGCAGTCTCAATTTGTATATAATATACAAAGAAATACTATGTTCTGTTAAATGTGCTATGTTGCCTAAAACTTATAATCCATTCAATAAATAAAAAGAGTATTTCAGTTCAATACACACAATACGTAGAGTTATTTACAATAAGTTTTCAATAAATACAAATTAAATTATAGCTTTGGTAGGAAAAGCCTCAGATAATTGAACAAATTATAAATTAATTTAAAATTAGTTTTAATAAATAACTGACGATTTTCACAGGGAATCGAACTCCGACACGTCACTCGTCTGAAAAGAAATATAATTTATGAAGTACTGTCTGTAAGCTAGGAATACACATATACAATTTAACGGTTTAAAACGCGAAACGACAGGCCGTATTTAAATTATATAGTAAATAGATTAACTAATACCTTTCGCGTTTTAAACCGTTAGTGTTTTACTTAAGTCGTTTATTACTAATCAAAAAGACGCGATCTAGAATGGATTTTGAAAGAAAATGATGCCCACTAAAATTGTTATGTCCTTGTTCTTTGTAGGGAAGTGTGGGAAAGAGACAACGTCCCATTACATAGTTTTGGTGTATCATCAAAGTGTTTATGATTATAAAATAACCTAATATAATATTAATTTATAATTAATAAATAAGAAGAGAAAGCAAATTTATTGTGAGTGGACTATCTAACTACATAACTAAGAAGGTTAAGTGCTGTTACCTACAGGATCGGGTTTATAGAGGTGAACATGAGGCAGAAGGAAGGTGGATCCCAGGTCTCGTTCAGCCATCGTGTGTGCCTCCTAGATAGAAAAGGTGCTTCGTCATTTTAAATTGAACGGGTACTGGTTAATTTCAAACTTAGTGCGTCATGCCTTTATATACACTTTTATCTTGAAATTGATAGTGAATTAAAAATTAAATTAGTATTTTTTTAATAACTTCAAATCCTTTCCCCCCTCCTTTATTACAACGAAAAACCACTATTCAGATTAAAGCATTTCATGTTTTATTTCGTTAGCGACGATCGTTGTTTACAAACATGGTACCATTTTAATAATATCATATTTACCCGATTCGTTAGGCGGGTGGATGACGCCGCCCGCCCAGTACTAGCTGGTAGAGTTCCGCCCACAGAGCGTGCTTCTGACAAGGTTCTAAAAATGCAAATAAGTTATCTATACATAGACAGACGAAAAGTAATATTGGATAGAACTTTAATACTACAGATTATAAATAGATTAAAACCTTCATCAAGATTAAATGTCAATAAATTAAACATTTGTACTAAGAAAAAATAAATATTTATATTAAGAGAAAACAAAGCATCAACACTACAACGGACTCGTTGGTGTAATGGTAGCAGAAACATAATAATATTTAAATGTAGTCTTTCAATTGTTGTTCAAAAATGATAAATTGACTTTAAGCTTACAACTCTCCGAGGCGACGCTCTGCGTCTGTCCACTCCGATATATTGTCTTCTTGACTGGAAGTGCCAAAAAGAATTAAGGCTTACTAAAATTTAACCAATTATATAGCTATATATTAAAATCCGTTTTTATTTGGATGATATTCTAAAATCTAAAACAATCTGTAAACTTCAATGAATTCATTGATCAAGTTAAGATTAAAAATATTAAAGTAAAATAAAAATTGATTTAACATTGAAAAAAATTCACGACCCGGGCAGGACTTCAAACGTTCTAACTGATTAGAGCAACAGCACGCAACGCCGTTGATGCCGTCCTGCCCGCGCCGTAATTATATTTTTAATTTATATAGTGTCATCATGTGCAATAAGATGTAAAAATTAATTAAGTCGTTATTAATTTCAATTATTAGATCTAGAAGACGGAACCAGACCAGAATAGAATGTTATATCACCTAAAAGATTTCCTCAAGGTATCAAACCTGGATAGTTGACCGTCTATGTCGGTCTTATTTATGGAGGACGCGTCATCTTCCTTCATGCCCTCTTCAGGTCGCACTGTTGTTGACACTTTGAATCCCGCTGACACCAACGCACCTGGTTCAAAGAATATACATATTTTCTATATTATCAAAATTTCATTAATGACTGAACACTTTCAAAAGTAAGTAAAAATTTTAAAGCGAATACGCATACCTTGTTTATTATGTCGATCTTTGTCCGCACTGTACGATGATTCTAAACTGTGCTTTCTTCTCATCTGAAATATTATAAAATGTAACTTTGAACTATGATCATATTTTCATACTTAGAATGTTACATATATACTGATCAAATACTGTCTATAGTTTACGCGAATAGTACACATTTAAATAAAACACTTTAACGGTTTAAAACGCGATATACCTACTAGTTAAACTTATTTGAAAATAAATTTTAATTTCGGCCCGACGTTTCGGATGCTTCATTTTCAAATAAGTTTAACTAATATATCGCGTTTTAAACCGTTGAAATGTTTTATTTAAATGTATACTGATCAATTTTATGTTTGAAATTGTAATGGTTAAAATGTGTTCACAACAGGAAAACTGTTCTTATGAAGGAAGAAAACCAAGCTTTTGACATAAAGAAGTCGTAACTAAGAACCACAAAAAATTCATGTCTTATAATGTTATTCTCAGAGCATTCCCTTAGTGTAAATTAATAAGAAAATTAAAATTATATAATAATATTGACAATATAACATTCATCTTTCATCTTTCTTTTCATTAACGTAATTACTATCATTGGTCAGACAAAATGCATGACTAAGTGTGGTGAGACATTATGTTTAAAAACAGCCCTCCATTACAAATGGACGTGATTTAAATTCCAGTGATAAGTTTCCAATGCAAAATAAGGTAATTTAATTTCATCATAATTAAGCTCTTGTTTTACATATGGGTGACAGCGATAGCTTTGCTGATAGCCGTGCCTCCTAGACTGAGGGTAACACACGAGGGTCGCCGGCCGCGGCTCCTACAAACGCTGTGTTGCACACGGGGCAGTAAAACAAATTAATATAGAACTAACCTCTTCTTTTACATTAGCGGCGCCGGATTCGAGGTAACTAATCAATTTCGCTTCGGCGCACGCTTCCATGCTCTTCTTTCTTGATAAATTGTCTCTGCTGTAAATGTGATAAGATAACTTTAGATAACAGAGACGAAATTTTTCACAGGTATGGTGCAAAAATGGTCTTGTCTTTCACGAAGGCTGTATCTCAAGAAATGCCAAGAGAGTTGAAATATACTATACCCGGGCCAAATCATAAATCAATTTTACATTGAAGAAAAACTACTACTCATTAAAAATATTTTTTAATTCATTTATTTTTGTCATATCAAGTTTAATTATATTATTTTTTTATATTCGTGATATTTATTTATCATTTTTAATAAAAAAAAATTAAATTAAAATGATTTAAAATTAATTTTAAAAATATTTTTTTTTATTAATTAATTTTTTTTCACTAATTTCTTCTCGCTGAAATTGAATCGGTATCCATAGCGTTCCGTGTTGGTCTAACCAATTGAGCTGCCGTGTCTTACGGTACGGTAGGGACACGGTAGCTAAATAGATTTTTATTTATTTTTTATTTCAAAGAGGCTTATTAACTAAATACATAATAAAAACTTAATATAATTTATGACGATTATGTATTTAAATTATAGGCAAGCTCAACGTTGCTATGAAATTAGATAAACAATATAAAAAGAACTTATATTTTATACTTATATGTGAAAAATATTAAACTTTTTCAAATATACCCGGGCTAGTCTGAAAATTAGATAAGTGTGACAAACATTCGATTGAGACTGGTAACGATCGCCATTTCTTATCTATTTATTTATGTATTATGCACTTTAGTAGTTATAAGAATACCTGTCCGAATGCAATAGACGCGCGCGGGGTATGAGGACAGCCGGTGCGGGCGGTGGTGGCGGGCAGTGCGCAGGCGGCTCTGAAATCACGTGTGCGGCGCCAGTGGACGTTCGTACGCGCTGAAAAAACATCCTCCCATTAATACACTATATGTTTCATTTTGAATGGTTTTTGCTTATGTCAACTACGCGAATTAGTAAAAGTGACAGTAAAAAAAAACAATTTATCTTATATTATCTAGTGAAATAGAGTGGAATCATAGTAGAAGTATCAACAAGAAGCAAGTAGTTTAGTAGTCGGAATACAAATCAAAATTAACAACTATCAGCTGGACTGGACACAGAGTCAACTGTGTCTGTTTCCCATACGTGCCGTGCAAAGGGAAAATAAGCTTTCGCTTGAGGCGTTGGGACTTCTGCGAAATGGTAGTTCTTACCTTGGACGGTATGTAGGGTAGGGAAGCGTTTTGGACGCTACATGTCTCAGCGTTTTCTCTTTCCGCTATCAAGGCTCGGCGATCTGCTCTCTGCTTTGGCATGTTACCCTGTACGAAATGCGTCTTTTGCTAAATACTAGATACATTAATCATAAAAATTATGCTATTAAAATAAAAGTATTTCACTATGGCCCGACCCGTCTCCCCGTGACCAGAGCTGAAAAGCATCCGAAACGTCGGGCCGTAATAATTATATATATATCGCGTTTTAAACCGTTAAAGTGTTTTATTTAAATTAGTGCTACGCTCGTAAACTAAAGACTAAGTATTCTATTAATAGTTTCTACTTTTTCGAGGTTGCGCAGATAATAAAGCAATATATTATTATGTATCAAGGTTTTATACTAAAAAATAGATTGGCTATTCAATCAGGCAGAGTCACCTCAGTATTCCTCCAACACTATATATATTATATACGTTGCCAATTCACCATCTGAAGTTCAAATTCTTTACCTGATGCAAACTTGGCATGCCCTGCATGCAGCCGATGACAAAGGTCTGTGTGGCCGGACTTCTGCTTACGCAGCATTTCCTCGACGCGAAGATTGTCACCGCTGTGATGATCAGCAAACCACTAACCGTCACGGTAATAAGAACCGCTGAAACAGTAGCATAAGTTCATAAGAAACTTTTCGGTTTACAGGCCCTTAGCCTATGGTCTTAATATTACCAATAATTAAAAAAGTAAAGCCTTACAACGTAGATTGTGATACAAGGACAAAGGTACAAGAACAGATATAATTAATTTAGTGTAGAAGAAGAGTTTGCGTGTCGAGATAGAATGTCATAATCTATACTTAAAGAATGTTATAACTTATACTAAGTTATACATGACGTAAGATGAAGCATAGAGCTTGGAGTACTAAATGCAGCCATAATTTTGTACTCTTACCTTCCTTGAAATCTTTAAAGTAACTTCCTTGTATTGAGCTATAGATAAAATAACAATTTGGCTAATTCAACTAATAGTTCATTACGTACCTTTCAGATTAACTTGACAAGTCTTCCCCGCGTACCACTTGAAACATTCGCATATAACAGCGCTTTCTCGATCAAAGCAAGTGCCATGGTAGTTGCAGGTATCACAACCAACAGCTTCCGCTGAAATATAATTTGGAGGATCTGATCAGAAACTGTACCTTTTCTGTTTATTTATTAATTTATGTAAGAACTTGTCGGTGATTACCTACTTATTTCTACATCGTTGCTGGGCTCCAAACCTCGCCATTTTAATTTGTATATTACAATTATTATTTATTTATTTATTTACATTCTCTTCCATCACAAAATATACCTATCGCGGTAGAATTATTACATTAACTAGTTAATAAAATTTTACTGAAATATTGACAACAATAGTGTTGACCGCCTCTGTAGCTAAATGGTTAAACTGTTGCCTAGCATTGCGTTAAGCGCAAGAGGTCAACTACTTGTCTGTAAATAAAACCGATCAGTGAAACGGACATAGAAATGTGTTCGCCCTATGCCCCACGAGGGAAATCGGGATTTCACTTCATAGAGTGATGCTTTAGTCAATGCACCCAATAAATTTTCCATGTAAGTCTTGTTCCAATTAGGAAAACAAATTAAATGCACCCCAAACCTTGTCAATATTTCTTTACTTAGCTTAGCACTGACCGCCGACGACGTTTGTTCAACGTTAAGTATATTTGAACAACTTTTAACCTACGTTTTGGCCGGGCTGAAGTTAGCGAGACCACCATCTTGCGCATGGAATTGTCAATTTTAAGAAAAAGTCGAGCCCCCCTCTCCGCGCACCCCATTTGTCGCAACTGATACCTGCTTTTTGCAATCTGCGCGACCATCCGCGCTAACTTCAGCCCGGCCAAATAGTTTTGAGAGCACTGTAGAGTTTCTAAAAAGTCTACATTATGATAAGGTACTTACAAGAACAGATTCTGCCCGGGTACAGGGTGTTTACACTGAGGTCAGCGAATCCTTCCAAACAGCTGCAGGTGTATGTCCCTCGCAAGTTGAAGCACTTGGCGTGTTCAGAGCAGTCATGGAATTGACCGCTCACACACTCGTCGAAGTCTGAAATGAAACAATCATATTTATATTTTTTTTTACACCAAAAACAAAGAAATTTTAAGTACAGTCTGTAGCTTACGCGAGTAGAACACATTTAAATAAAACACTTTAACGGTTTAAAACGCCATATATACAATTATTTGGATTTTTTAAAACTACGGCCCCACGTTTCGGATGCTTTGTAGCAGCCGTGGTCACAGCGCACGTTACCGCTGTTACAAACTAGTATATATCGCGTTTTAAGCCATTAAAGTGTAAAGTATTAGCGGATATCTTTACAGTAAGTTATCGATTCAAGTTACTTATAAGCTAGTACGTTATTATGCTTACCGCTAACATTTAATCTATCGATAAGATCAGCAGCAGCAAATACTTCTGTTCCGCCAAGGCTGTAATTGTTGTTTCGAAGGTACTTTTCTATCACCTCCTTTAACCTATACTCATGAGCATTATCTGAAAGCTAAAAACAGACCATTGTTACAGTTTATAACAGGCTTATCTATACCAATATATAAAGCTGAAGAGTTTGTTTGTTTGTTTGAACGAGCTAATCTCAGGAACTACAGATTTTAATTGAAAAATTCTATAAAGGCAAGCGAAGATACGGCAAGAACTGTGAAAAAAATTGGGAAAATTATTCATCATATAGGTCTGCGAGGCGTACGCTGCAAAAATGGTGCAAGATACCCAAAAATTAAGTTTGAAAGAATGATTCCTTTTTTAATGATCGCCTATCTTTTAAATACAAATTGCAAGAACGACGGAAAGGAATGCGATCGACACCGTGGGTTAGAGCTTAAGTTTATAAAGATGACAGGGTTTGCAAAAATTAATTTGGACGCCCTAAATAATGAAAGTCGCTGGCACAGCTGGATAGCTATTATATACATATCACTTTCTTCTTAACTGAAGTCTTACTTTATTAAAATTTATGTTTTACATTTTTAATTCTAGGAATCAAATGTTAACCAAAGATAAACACAACCGTGAACTGTTTTTTTATAATTACCTGAACATAAAAGTCGTTTGTGACACCTTGGTAAGGATCACTAGTCTTTCCTTTCATTTCAATAGGGCGGAACCCAGTTATATGTACACCATGGAAGACGTCCCTTAAATCTGACTGCATTACCATTCTATTTATACCTTCATGAGTTGCAATAGCTAGCTGATGATATTCTTTTGTAGAATTGTCTGCCAGGTTCGGATGGAACCTGAGACGCTTGTTTCGTTGCGATGACAGAACTAAGCTAACTGAGTATGTGTAGGTTGCTAAAATACATAAAATTTTATTAATCAACATACATTTTACATACCGGTTTAAAATTGATTTTAAACTTACGTTTACAAGGTCGGTCAGGGAACATTCTAGCAAAGCCGGGTCTACATACACACTTCATTATACCATCGATTCGTTGACAACGCTCGTTTCTCGATGCTTTGCAATCTGGCTGACATTCTTTTCCAAATCCTATTCCTGGAACATACATGTGAATTTAACGCAAATGATAATCTGATGATAATATCAAAAATGTTATTTTATACGAAGTAAGCTTACCAGCGGGATGTCCAATATTCGTAGTTTCCAAATATGGAGTGCCAGCTAATAATATCTCACCAAATAATACTTGTGACACGCCATTATTGTTTACTTGTTCATTTCTAGTAATGCCTTCATAATCGCCCGTTTCAATGTCAGTGTTTACTGGAGGAGATTTTCCACCATTTTGGGATTTGTTCATTACGACAAAGAATGTGTCGTTATCCTTTTCCTCCTCAGCTTCAATCTTTTGGATATTTTCTGTGACATCTGAATCTTTGATAATAAAGTTATCTTTTTCTTCTGACGACATAGTAATGTCATCTATGGGCGTTTTCGTTGAAGTAATTTCTTGAACGGGAGTTGCTTCTACTTCTATAGGGATGTGTTTTGTAACAGTTTCGATTATAGTAGTTGGCTGTACTTCTGTGTAAATTTCAGTGATAACATCTACTACAGTAGATGTGTGAGTATTAGTCAATATCAACGTTTGCGTGACAGCCCCTTCAGATTTACTCACCAGACTGGTCTTTGTATGAGTAACCGTTAATGTGTGAGTCAGATTAACGTATCCAATACTAGAAATAGTTTCGGGCGATTCTAATAGCGTCTTCGTAAATGTCACAACAGAAGTTTTAAATTCTGTCTTCGTAGGAATAATTTCGTCTGATATTTTAATCTCATTTCCAGCGTGATGCAAGCCCTGGGTATTTATTTGATTATCTTTTTTACCATTTGTCGGAGTGGACGCAACTGTTTCTTCAATAATCCCTGTTTTCTCAAGGGAAATACTAGAATCACTATAGTATCCGTGTAGAGTTTGCGTGGGCCTAATAATATCTTCTTCCGGTAATATTTCAGAACTCTCAATAATGTCAATGGGCTGGACGGACGGGAAACTGTTGAATGTTGGTCTTAATATTTTACTGTTAATCTCTCTAGTCGGATATAATAATTCTGGCCTAGTCAATGTTCTTGTTGGTGTGATAATAGGTGGTTTAGGTGAGGGTTTATATTTAATTCCTTTTTTGTCTTCAGTGCGTATTGGATATGGTTTGCGAGTCCAGTTTTTAATACCCGATGATATAATTTTTACCGTATCTGTTTTTGAATCTTCTTCGCTTGATTCTTGCGATGAGTCTTTCTTTAATTTAATCTTGTCTGCATCTTGTGGAGTTTGGGATTCTACCTTAAATTGTACTGAGTTATTTTTGTCGGTTTCAGTTTTATCTAAAATAACACTTTTTGATGGTTTGGAAACTTCTTCAAAGGAATAAGATACATCAGCGTATGTTTCGTCTAAATCAGAATCTAATAAAGTAGACTGAGAAGAAGTTATTATTTCGGGGTATTTAACTACTGTAGGTGCAAAGTTAAATCCTGACGAAAAATCTACACCAGATGACGTAATCCAAGGAGATGATGTTTCTGTTGGGAAAATAACGTTTGCAGCCGATGAAACAAAATTATTGAATGTAGGATCTATTTTTAAATCTGGCACTTTGGAAGGTAATTCTCTCGGTGGTGGTAGTAATAGAGAAGAGGGTTGGTCACGATTATAATAGGGCCGTTTAAATTTATTTACTAAATCATAAGTAGGCCTGAGCGTCGACGGTTCATCCTTCTTTGCAGGTTTTCTGACAGGTCGTTGTGTACTTGGTCTGGTAGGTAAAGTCCTCGGTGGTACATTTCTGTACGGTGGTGGGGTTCTTATGGTCGGTGCTGTTCGTGAAGGATGAGATGGATTTCGGTTCAAAACATTTTCAGGTGGCGGTGGACTCATCCCCATAATTAATTCATGATTTTGATGAGGCCGTATGTAATTAACATTAGGCGGAGGTGGGGATAAGTTAATAATTTCACTATTCGTTTGGTTAATTTCTTCTTTAGACTGTATAGTAAATGTAGGCATTGTGGATTTCTCGGGCACTTTAACCACTAAAGGTTTCTTATCTCTTATATGCACTGTAGATGTTATTATGCTATCATTTTTGTATGCTGAACCTGCCAGGGAATTACTTTCATTCTTGATTATATTGGCCGTAGTATTTGGCATTGGTTTGTAAACTTTTTCACCAGTATTTAATTCAAAGCTATCCTCATACGATACATTTGTTCCGTTTTCTACCATCTGATTAATTTGCCAGTGGGGTGTTTGTAGTTGATGGTCAAGTGGTATAGAGTTTGTTACAGTAAATGGTCTCGGTTTTGAGTACGGCGCCCGATGAGGACTTAAAATGGGGCTCATACTATTTGTTTGGAACACTGTTTTATTGTTATGTCTAAATGGTTTTTCTGTTTGCGTACCTTGATTTATGTTGTTAATTGACATTCCCTTGTTTGAAGTAAGTGGTTTAGAACTATTTTGTCTTTCTTCGGATGAAGTAACTACTGGTATTTTCATTGACTCAGAGCTAATTTCACCATCAGCTTCTCCTTCGTGGTCCACAAAATCATCTTTACCATCATAAATTTCTTCAGACGTTTCATAAACTGGCTTAGATTTTTCAGAGTTCGATTCATTTTCCTTTACATTATCGATTACAGGAATATTGTATACGGGCTGTTTAGCCGAATATATAGATGGTATATAATTTGGCTTTATGGTGAAAGCTGGTAATATTGGTTTATTTTTTGTTTCAGAAGTATCGGATTCTTTAGGCTTTGAAAACGGCCTACCAATGCTCAACTTATGGCCGATAGGCCTTGTTTGGAATTCCAAAAATTCTGTCGGTGGTTTACCTACATTTGTAATTTTTATGCTATTATTAAATAAGATCGTATCCTTAGTGTGGTCAAATGACAAGGGTATAACTTTTCTTGTGGTCACATCCATGTTTATGTTGCTTATATGTTTGATATTATCATCATTAAGAACACTAGAATACCAACCATGAGAGTTAGTTGGTATGTTTGAAATAATCTTTCCGGGTCTTTTTTGTTCTGTAGATTTATTATCGTCATAATTTTCTTGAATAGACTCTTCCTTTTTCAGGGGATGATACGGTGAATATTCATTAACCATTGGGAAATTAGCGTGACTATTCAAGGATGTTGGCCTTGGGGTGATTCGAGTATCAATAAAGCTGTTAGAGAATTTTACTTCATTATTTTGCGGTTTTGTATGTGAAGGCTGAACATTAAATAATGATAAGCTTGGATCAGGCTTACCATGTAAAGCAACCGTGTCATATTTAGACGGGTCATCTTCAACTCTAATAGCAATATTCGTGCCGATTGGAATATTAGCATTTAATTCACCATTATGTTCAGATGTACTTATAGGAACCGTAATACTTGAGCCAATCAACTGATTTTGTCCTCCAATATTTTTAACTCTAGTTCCCGTGTTTAAAGTTACACTATATGTAGTATCAATTCCAGAGTCTGATATAATAGTTTTGTTTGAATTGGTGGGAGGTTTAATGAGTTTAGTATTACTTTGAAACGTTTGTTGCCCATTTATTGGTTTATTATTTGTAGATGGTAACTTCGGCACCTGCATATTATATGTTTGACTTTGGCCATTCATTGGAGTTTGTGACGCAAAATATACTTCAGAGGTAATCTTCGGAGGTAAATGATCTGGTACAGGATGTTGTACATTCAAAAATACCTTCATATCCTGTACAGGTTTAGTATGTATTATTGGTCGCTGATTATAAGGCTTATTTTGTGGAAACTGGCTCTCTTGTTTGTATTGTTTAGGTGGAGGTGGGGGAACAGCAAGATAGTTTTCATATTCTCGATCAATTATTTCTTTACCATCTTTAGCTATTGGATGTCTGTTAATATTTGTTTTATGTTTATTTTCAAAGTCACCTTTGTAATCATCAGGTTTATAAACTGCTATATGAGGGCCTACTCGTAAATGTGTTTCCTGAATGCTTATGGGAGGAGGAATATTTTGCAGGTTATAGTGTCTATTATTTTTCCAATTGTGTCCATCACTTCGGCTTTTATTTAGGTTTTCAGTAAACGGAATGTTTGGTTTATAAGATGGAAGGCTGGTATGCGATGAAATAATGATTGGTTCTTTAATAAATTGATTTTTATTTGGAGATACATTGTGCACATTTGTCATTTGCGGAGCATCAATACTAAAACTTCCAAAATAACCTGGCTCTGGATATGGCAGCGGATCATCAATGTAGTCACCTGTTTTATGTGGTTCTGATGATCCAGCAAACACTAAAGCAGTAGAACTTCCATGTGGGATTAAAACATTAGCGACTCGTGAAGGTTGAATATCAACTAAAAACGGTTTATCTAGGTCTGACGAATCAGATGACGTAGAGTCGTCATCAGACGTTTCAATCTTAGTACTAACAATTTCTGAAGAGCTTGGGCTACTGTCTAATATAACATGACTAGTTTCGTTTTCTTCATAAGGCCCAAATTCTATATGCTGTTTTAGAGGAATACTACTTGTAGGTTTTGCTAATGATGGAATATAGTCTAAAAAGGCCGGCCTGCCGTGATCTTTAGTCATACTACTCTTTATCTTAGAACCAGTAGAATGATGATTTATCCGGTCCTTTAAATCCATTGAACCTTGCGTAGAATAAGGTGGAATATCATGCATATCATTTAAATTTTCATGACCAGGCATATTTTGAGGTCTTTTTGGAATCTTAGATATTGCTTTTGGTGGTTCTGGCGGCCTCAAATCAAATGAGTCGTCGGTATGGCGTGTAGGTGCAGATTTTTTATTTTGTGGAAGTGAAAGCGGATACTGTTCATTAACTGGATATTGCTCACTATCAGCCATATAACTATCTAAAGGAGGACGATTAACAACATTATGTAATTTGATACCACTGGCAGCTAAAGTCAAGGGCCCTCCCACTGCAGGTTTACCAACAATAACGTCTGAATTAGCACGTATAATCTCGCCGGGGCTAATTGGTATACCACCATTTACAAGAGGACTTTCCTGGACAATTTTTGGTGGGTAGATGTGACCTTTATTATGTTTGTATTCAAAAGCCCATGGAACATTTGGGTGCATTGAGATATTGGAGAAAGATACTTGGGACTCTGATGTTTCCATTTCGTCGACAGGTATGTAAATAGGAAAGTTTCCATGTTTGTTTTCTGTACTATCCACCCGCTTTTCAGCAGAATATGGAGTCAATTTCGTGACCGGTTTTAAAGTAGTCGTTGATGTACTTTGATTAACATCTTGTCTTTTCATAAAACTGCCTGTCATCTTTTCAAAAACAGGAGCTAACTGGGAAAGTCCTTTTATACCGAGAGATCCAAGTTTTATAAGTTCAGCTACGACTAATTTGTTTTTATTCACTTTTTGTGGTTTTTCTAGCTTCGTTTTTTCGGAAGTCTTATTGGCAACTCTATTATTTTTAACAGGTGCTTTTTCATTTGTTAAAAGTTCGCTCTCGTCTACAGTATTTGTGTCTTTTTCATCAGAATAATCACTTATCACCTCGGTATATTTCTCTACGATCCTGTCCGTTGGTGTTATTTGAGAATTGATGTCATAATCATAAGGTCTATATTTTGTTTTCATATTTAATGTTTCTTTGTTAGTTGTCTTTATATCCAACTTGGGAACATCTCTTTTCGTCGTTTTTGAAGCATGTTTGTTAGAGACGGGTGACGAATCAATAGAGTTCGCGTATTTCGAATTTAAATTTTCTGTTTTTGTATGGCTGCAAGAACAAGAAGTTGTGGAGCATGGAGTGTGGTTTACCTCGGATGGCTGTATTATATCAAACAAACTATCATCCTCATGACTGTCTATTCGTTTATCGATTTTAGGAAAATGTTCTTGATATAAACTGTTGGCCACCGTAGGTTGAATCGTTTTGACGTCCAAGTATTTTGTCTGAAAATATTTAAATAACAGTTATTTTATTACGTAAGATTATAGTTGTATTATAATTGGCAAAATTATAAAAATCATAATGTATATAGGGAATAGTTTCATATAACGACTACTATTCGTAATGGCGGAGGGGGCGGAACGAAAAAATGTTACGTGGAGCTACCATGCTACTTCTCTGTATTAATGTGGGCGGTCAGTGATGGATATGTTATATTAATCACTTCATTAGGAGAAATCACTGGGTATAGTTGGAAAACCTTCTCCATAGGTCTAGGCATTCCAGGGTAATGTGACTAGTCTTACTTTCGTTGGTTTTAAATCTGCTAATACTTCAGAAGCGTACAAGTTTGTCAGTGACTCTGTTGTTACCACTGATACTATAGTTTCGAACGTAGATATAGCGCTTCGTTTGTTGTGCACAATTGTTGTCAGGTATGTATAAGTTGTCATACAGGTCTTGATTATATAATTGTGCTGCATTAGTTGATGCATTGGAAAGATAGCACTCAATTGCTGGCGGCTAACAACTGTAGCTACAGCAGAAGACAAGAGTGACTTGTTTTGAGTAGGGCCCATGTGCGGTTTTGTCGTTGATATGGGCGTTATTTTAAGCATACGCTGAGAAGAGACAACATAAAAATACAATAAATGTACGTTCTCAGATACTTTCGGTATCTTAAGCGACGTTTAGAATGTTTACCATGCAATAGTTTTAATAGTACATGAAAACGAAGCAATCTCGTTTTGAAATCTCTTATATAGAATCCGACTAACATCGGCCAAATATTTTGTCTAAGCTGATTCACTGAGGGTGAAACATGTAAAAAATATTTATATATAAAATTATATACTTTATTCTTAATATATAATTAATACGTAGTCTAATAAATTGTGTAAGACTTTCACGGCTATCGTCCAGCTAATCATTGTTTTTCGGGCTGTTCGAAGAATTATGATAATATATAAATCTTCGTGCAATCGACGAGTTAACATCTCCTGATGATGCCGTCCGCACGTGATGGCGAAACGTCGATAATCTCTTCTCGCTCACGTCGGCCGAACAGCCCGAAAAGCAATGATATTCTAATACGTAGTCTATTTTACAAGCAGATGTAGTTTAACTGTGACACTTCAAAGTCGAATACTAGACTTAGCTACAACTAAATAAGTTTTGCAACGTTTTAACTTAAGCGATACAGTTCTATCACTCCTAGACAGCCATCAAAAAATATTTCACTTTCGGAGTGAAATCTAGCTTAAAGAATTCTACTAAACTCTTAAATTCTCAATAACAAACGCCAAATCTTTACCTGCTCTTGTTTCCCATTAGCATTCTTATCTTTTACCAGAACCTCAACGCCATTCGACATAATTCTCGTCGCGAGATTCTTAAGTTTCCTTTGGTCTTCATCAGAGTCGCGATTAAGCAGATCAGATTCTCGTCCTGGTCTCCACGGTGAGTTATCATAAACTATAGCATTTGTGTTAAACGCTGAAATCGAATTAAATTACTTAATAACAAAACTGTTATTCTGAAAAATGTAATTTTTATTAATTGGGTGGAAATTAAATACTATTTCGATACATTCATCTTAATCATTCATGCACACTTTATCTATCTACTTGAGACTACTACGACTACTTACTCGTGCTTTAAATAACAATAATGTTAGTCTAAATAACCACTACTCTACTCCCAAGCCGTTTTAAACAAATAGTATTTATCCATTATAATTTAGACTTTACTTTCACGCTGTAGTGTTTTAAATATAAATATTTACACGGTAATAATAATAATTAGAATCAATTTTTAATCTACATAATGTGACAGAGAAATCATGTAACGTAATATTTTTTTTTTTCTGGTAAAAATTTTTGAACCCCTCAATCAAACAACCAGTAGAGCATAGAGACCTATTAGGGGTACACAGTTGTTCTAGATGATAATAATAACCGAATATATTAGTAAAAAAAGACATTAATATAGTAAAACTAAAGGGGAGGGTGGAGTTAACTGTGACGTGGTTGTATACATATTCAATTTTATTAAAATGTCTATTTTTATATACAGGACAAATATTGAAATTCACAAAACTATATTTTTTTATTTTGGTTGACGTCACATAGATGTAAAATAAGCTTATGCACATTCAAATGGAAAGTGTAAAACGTTCATGATTTCCCTTTTTAAAAACACGTAGAAAAATAACTCACCAATACATTTGGATGAGCCCAGGATGGTGGACAGGCCGTGGTCATGTCATCACGTGATGGTCATTCAAGTCAAAAGTAGTCGAGTCTTGCATGTCTTGAACACAGTCATAATCTCGTCATACCTACGTATCTATTGTTTTTTTATTAATGTCATGAAAGTAACATTGTTATAATATGAAATTATTTGATAGTTGTTGTAATTAAAAAACAATGAGTTACAATAAAATTTTATAAGTTTGACATTTTTGAAAAACCAATATATTTAGATGTCAGTATTAAAAAAAAACTTGAAATAGGCTAAGGGCAAAAAAATAAAAAGATTTTATTTTAATACAATTTATTAATAACATTTTAAGTCGTATTTGCAATTTACAGTTTGAAGGGAAATGAGTATGTACGAGTATTTTTAATCACTAAGACACTATATGAAAACTTAATAAGTACCAAAAGTCATTCTTAGGCAGTGGTTACACAGACGTTACCTCAAGTACAAATTCTGGTAACAAAAAAGAACATTTTTTGGTGTTTCTTAAGAAGTAATGTGTACCTAAATAATTCTAGAGAAGTACAAAAGAGTTTCTTAAACTATATTACACAACTATAAGGCACTATTTGCAGTTAACTTAATATGTTACAAGGTAAATAAATAACTACTTCCATTTCTATACACCTAACAAATCGTTCGGCTTTCACGAGACGTCATCGACGGAACTTGGCTGCGAATCGCTAACGAAGGACGGGCTTGCCAATTTCACGACATAAGTTGGTGACGCGTCGTATTTAATGTGATTACTTAAACTGCCAACTATACTTTCTAAGCTTTGTGTTTCTCTTTGTGAGTCATGTCCGGGATTTGAAAAATATTTATCCATGTCGGAAGCGATAGAATTCTCCAAGTAACCTTGACTCTCAGAGCCAAAAAGTTCCCCAATGTTTGGAAGTATAGACGGCATTATTTTTACATCTTCGTAATAAATTGCTTCGCGTTTTCTAACCGTTTGCGTGTCTTCTGAAACGACAGTCGACAGAACAGTACTGAATTCACCCGGGTGTTTTCCAGATACGTATAAAGTCACTACACTTGTAATTTTAGGTGGAGAAGGCTTGGCCGCTTTGGCTCTACTTCTTTTACGAGCCGGGGCTGAAGTTGGCGGTGGTATATCCTCTTCGTCGTTTTGTATGTCATCAGAAAAGTCTTCGTTGCTATTGAAGTCTGAGAGGACGTTTGGTTTCGGGCTGTTACTATATATATCATTGTTCAAGTTGTTATTTTGAACCAAATTATTTTGTCCAACATTGTTTTGTCCTAAGTTATTCGCGAGTAAGTTCAAGTCTGTTGGAGATAAACCTAACAAAGGATTAGCTGTTTGTAAAGCTTGTTGCTGTTGCTGCTGTTGTTGTTGTTGCAGCAGGAGAGGTAGCAGTAACGAATTAAATTGTGGTTGTGGAGCTAATACTGTTGGTGTAGTAACGACTGTATCTGTCAGATATTCAGTTGCTGTTATAACATCCGTTGTTGGATCAACAATCGTAGTTAAAATCGGGGTGCCTCTAAATGTTATTGACAAGACTGTTGCCCTAGAATCGGTAACAGTTGTAACATATGTAGTAGTTCGTGTTTTGTACTCTGTGACAGGTGTTTGTACTATTGGTTGTTGGGGTAACAACGCTTGTCCTTGTAAAGCAAGCAGTGGATTAATAGCAGGCTGCTGATTACCTAAAAGAAGTTGAGACAGCAATAGATTAGCTAACGGTACATTTGAGTTAATTTCTGGAGCTACCGTTTGTACCACTGGTTCCACGTTATATACTGTACTTGGCAATACATGGGAAAAAGATGTTTTACGGCCGCGTATAGTTGTCGGAGTAAATATAACCGTTGTTGTTGGTGTTTCGTGTAATACAAATCGGGTCAATTTAGTAGCTCCATTATCAGCTAATCCTGTAGATTCTACAGCGAGCACTAATTGCTGGTGACCCAAAGGCCCTATTGATGTAGATACTTGATTTAATAAAAGTGTTTCAATGCTTGGCTTAGCAGTTAAAACGTTTTTGTACTCTGTAATCTTACCATTGACCACTGGAATAGTCACTTCTATTGGAATTTGATGTGTAACTGTAATTTTACCATCGTTCAATATATTATCGTACTTGTTGTATCTTTCGCCGCTAAAATTTTCAAATGAATTTCTTTGTCTACTTGATGCTCTACCGGTTGTCGTTCTAGTCCGAGAGTTTCGACTAGTTGTTCGTGATGAGCTAGAACGTGAAGAAGGGGTACTTTTGCCAGATAAGCGAGGTGCTTTCAGCCTTGATGACAGTGTGGTTGTTCTAGACGAAGGTCTCGACTTGCCGCTACGTTTGTAGGCTGGACTCGACGTAGTGGTAGTCCTGCTCTCACCGCGTACGATAAATGGTTGTCTAGCCGACGATCTTGGTGCTGATACAGTGGTGCTTCGTGAGTTGCTTGAAATTCGTGAATTGTATCGACTAGATTTTGGTTTTGCCGGAACTGGTGCTTCCGTTTCAGGTTCGGGTTCAGGTCTTCTCGTGCTCGCTGATTTTGGACCGGGTCTTCGAAAGTTGCTTAATTTCCTAGAGCCGTAATCTACTTGCCGTTTAACTCTGCGTTTGAAACCGAAAGGTCTAATAGAAACAACGTTAGATCGCTTGGTAGATGGAGCGGGGGTAGCTACTTTTTGTTCTTTTCTATCAGAGGAATCATAGTCATTATCTTCCTCGAATTCTTCTTCTTCTTCTAAAATTTCATCACTTTCATCAACTTTTTGTTCATCTTCACCAATTTCTTCTTCCGGTTCTGGATCTGGTTGTTTGAAAAGATTTCTTCTTGGGAATAATGAGTTGGGTCTTTGTCTGCGTAATGATAATAATGGATTATTAGTTGTCCGAGTAGTAGTTCTTCTTGTGGTAGTAGTTACACGACCGCGTGTTGGTAAAGCTCTCCTTGGCGCTGGAGTCGTAGATCTAGGTAACAGGGCTGTGCCAGGCTGCCTAGCAATAGTTGGTCTTCTAAATCTCAGTAGTGGATTATTTGTAGTTTGACGAATAGAACTTTCAGTGGCTTCATCTAGAGCTTCAGTGACATTTTCTTCCTGTTGTGTCGCATATGTTTCAGCTTCATTTTGATCTGACGGTGTGTAGAAAGCAACAGAAGATTGCCTGCCACCTCGAAGGCGAGACGACGCTGTAGGTCTTATTTTTGGACTTGCCGATCTACTAGCAAAATCTAAATTACCACGTGATGAACTCGATCTAAAGCCAGTCCTACGCGATGTAGGTTGAATGCTTGCTCTACCAAACCCGCCAGGCCTCGAAGCGGGTACGTTAGCTGGCACATTAGAACTACTACGACCAGAGAACCTTTTACCAGAAATGGATGAACTTCCAACCACGGCAGGTTTTCGGTTTCCGCCAAAACTGCCAGAAGGCCTCACTGATTTTAGAGTCGGTGTAGCGGTAATAGTGGGAGTAAACTCTGGTCTTGTTATTGTTGTAGCACTATTAGGGAGAGGTTGGCGCTTCGGGCTAAAGGTCGGTCTATTTCTTGATGCAAATGGTATAATCACTGGAGTAAAAGTAGGTTTCTTTGTGGTGAAACTGAGCCGACCTCTTTTTCTAGGATTAGAATCATCATCTTCTTCTTCACTCAACTGAGCATTTGTGGTTGTTTCTGGTTCTGTAACTGAGCTCTCAATGACTTCTGGATTTGTAGTCAAGGTTATAGTACCTTCCGTAGTTGTTGTCGATGTACTAGATGTTGTGTCATCTAAAGTCTTATTATCATTTGTTACTATAGTTGAATCCCCGGAGATAACAGCTACTTGCGAAAAGATTATTTTCTTGTCTTCAGTTCCACTATCTGTTTTTTCCGGTGGTTTTACCTCGGCAAATAAATTATCAATATATGTTCCTTGTAAAGAAGTAGGTGTTGCAACTGATAGCTCTGGAAGTTGTGTTGTTTTTATTTCTTCTTTAATAGGAGTTGCATTGATATTCAATTGTTTATCTCCATTATCTTGAATAAGATTTTTCTCCGCAGCTCCAGTCGGTACCTTTCTACCCAATTGATTATCTTCAAGTACTCTTGTATTATCCACAACATTTGTAACTGTTGCCAAACTACTTCTTATTTGTGAAGTATTGCCGGCATAGAATGTGGTAAAATAGGTATAAGTAGTATAAAACGTAGCTTTTCCATCTTCATGTTCCAGAGTATCTTCCAATTGAGAAGGTTTCAAAATAACTTCTAAATCTTTAGGAGGCAATACACTTTCAACATCAATAGGAGAAGTATCAATTGGGCTTACTGTAGGAGCCACTTGAATTGTTGGGGTAACAATGTTAGAGACTATTTCTTCACGACTGGTTATGGTTGTTGACTTATCTTTGTAAAGAGTAGTCCAATATGTGAATGTTGTGTAATAAGTAATTGGTAAGTTATTTTCCTCTTCTGGCTCATTTTTGGGTGTGATAGTTTCCGTCACGACATTCGTGATCGTTTCTAGTCGGCTTTTCACCTTGCTGGAATCCTTACCAATGTACATTGTTGTAAAATACGTAAAAGTAGTGTAACTAGTTTGTAAGAGTAGAGTTGGTGATGGCAATATTTCGTCAATATTACTTTCAGAGCTTATTTGATCATCAAGGACGTTATTATTATCAAGATATTTAGTTTCGCCTTTCGAAGACGATGACTTGACATCTGTTATGTACGAATTTTCAGAAATCAGTGGATTTGAATCCACGCTGAATAACATATCAACTTCAAGAGGTGATTTCGGTGAAATATGCTTAGAATCAGAAGTGTTTTCTGTCATTGAGATGGTACTTTCTGAAGACTCGTTGCTGTTATCAGCTTCTTGTGTTAGACCCTTAACTTGTTTACAATTACGGAAGTCGAATTGAGCTCTCGTGCTTTCTTTTGTTAATAGATTTGTTTTCGTAGGTATTAACTCATCTGGGCCAACATAATTTGTATACACTTCATTTCTACTGCACACATTAGCATCAGAACCAACGTAAATAGTTGTGAAGAAAGTATAAGTTGTGTAATAAGTTTTTACTGAATCCGGCTTAATACTTGCTACAAATTCGTCACCTAATATTGGCGTTGGAGTATGAGAATTGTATTGTTCCCCACCCTCAACGGATTCTATCACGTCTTTATTTTTCACTAAATCAATAATACTATTTATAGCAAAGGTTTCAGTTGGTCTACCAATTCCAACGTTTGTCGGAGCGATTTCTCCATCATCAAATGCACCAAGTAAGGCTGGATCCATTTTTGATAAATCAACTGTAGATGTAATAATATTTGTTACTATTGATTTATGACTAGCTACACTGGAACTTTGATCACCGAAAAATGTGGTAAAGTAGGTATAAGTAGTGTATAATGTTTTATAAATCAGATCGATTTCATTTTCCGAGTCGTTTACATCTTCTTCCGATTGTGGCTTATCGGTTGGGGTATGTTCGGTACTAACTGTGACTTCAACATGACTTTGGCTCGTAATCACATTCTCAGAAGTAGAAGAAATAGCTTCAGTTGTTTCGTTTACATCTTCTTCCTCCGACTCCTCTGAGTCGTATTGACCTCTATTGACAATATCCACTGGAGTGGTTAATGAATTTTTTTCTATTTGGGTAGTTTTCGGCGTGTTTTCTGTAACTGTTTCACTTAATAATTCGTTGTTTCCTGTAACTCTAGATGTTTCCGTGTAACTTTGTTCAGTTGGTTTTACGTCAAGTTTAACTGTAGCTGTTGGTTCAATGTCCAGTATATTTGTTTTACATACTATATTAGTTAAATATCCAACATTACTCTCTACAACGACGTCAGATTTTACAGACGTTGTTGTATCGGTTTCCAATGGAATAAAATAAGTAGTTAAATATGTAAGTGTTTTATATTCTGTAGTCATTGTTGACTGCGTTTCAAGACCGTCATCGCAAATAACCTCTTCATGTTTATTATACTTGTTTTCTGTGGTAGTTTCTATTTCTTCCGATTCTTCACTATGGCCACTCTCTGTAGTTGTAAATATCTCTGGTTCCATTTCTGGTGTACTTTCGTTTTCCTCAAATTCTTCATCTTCTATGGTCTTTTCAGTAATTTCTGCTGCCGTATTTTCACTTTCCTCTTCCGAATTTGTAAATAACTCATTAGGGGTTTCCTCTGTAACGGCGGAAGCTTTAGAGTCTTCTGCTAAGGTAATAGTTGGAGAAAACATTTGTAAGGGCTCTGTGGCTTGAGAACTTTGTTGATTTATGCCTACGTATTCTAAATCATCTGTGTTACGAGTACTTTCGGTTACTGAAAATACTGGTTCTGATGGCTGTAAGACATCTAAGTTTAGGTCGAAACTATTTGAATACTGAACTCTAATTGAATCAGGGATTTCACTATTAACTTCGGTATTCTTTTCGTTATCTTTGTATCTATATAAAGGTTGATCAGTTGTATCTTTATCATCTATTGTTGATAATTTAGTCACAATATTGTCTTCGTGAGCTTTATACGTTGAAGTTGCTACTGGTATATCAGCAGAGAGAAAAGTTATTTTTGTTGCTAATTTATCTACAGGTCTAGCTGAAGGGAAAACATTTACTTCATCAGGATTGGGCTGCCTAACAGTATCAGTATTGGGGGTGAAGATAATAACAGTATCACCAACAACTGTCGTGAAATCGGCAAAACCTTGATATGTAAACGTTTTTTTCGGTCTCGGTTCACTTTTATTACCAAACAACTTTTTCGGTGTTTTAGTTTGTGGTAGCGCTTGTTGGGCTGGTTGACGAGATTCAACATTATCAATATAGTAAAATATTGGTGAAAACTCATTCTTTATTGTAAAAGTTGGTAAGTCGTAATTAGGTTTAACTTTCACTATATTAGATTCTTTTATTTCCTCTACATCCGAGTCTTTAATATTATTAACCATTGGCTCATACGCTTTACTTTGTCGGTATTGAGAATTAACATTATCCATTACACTAGGTTCTACAACATATTCTACTTTTTTCTCGTTGTCAATGGCTGGACCATCAAGATAGTTATAAACTTCAAATTTTGGAATTTCCTTATAAGCTTGAACTCTACGGCCAGTAGGCTCTTCAAAAACTTGATTATTGGCTTGACCAGAATTATCGGATGGTACATTCCAAAACTTGGAGTTCTCTTTAGTCGGTTTACTGGCATAAACAATGTCCATTTTACTGTTAGGTGCCAAGTAATCAGTGTTTTTAAGAACAAATTTATCTGGATCTATTATACCTAGATCTTGCTTTACGTTCCAGCCATCGAGAGATGGTACCCGAGTAGGACTCACGACATACGGTTCGTCATTGTATGGCTTACTGTAAAGAACGAGGGAAGATTTCGTTAAAACTTGAGCATATATTCTGCCATTATCGAGAGTTGTGCCGAGAATTTGTGTCGCAAATTCTGTTGTAACTCCGTCCTGAATGAATGTTCTCGCCGTGGATGTAAGAAGACCAATAAGTGGTTTGACGCTATGGTATCGCCCAGTCTTCGAAGCATAGTCATTTCGTTTTTGGTCGTTTACGAGCAATACTGTCAGGTCTGCAGTCATCCGTCAGTGGAAAGGGTGAGGGTGCGTTATTATTTTACAAAGTCCATTGAGTTCGGAGACCCGACCGAGGATTAGATTTGAAAGAGAAAGAAAAAAACAAACCATTAATAATGCATACAGAGAGAAATAAAAACAAAAGAATGCTTATGGATAGCAATAGAAAAATAGTTAGCACTAGTTTTTGTACAACACAGTTAATTATGATGGTCACTCTGATGTGACCATCAAATTTAGATGCACAAGATAAGTATATCTAATAAAAGAGACACATAAGAGAAAAGCGAATAAAATGTACAAGCATTTATACAGAAGTTTTATAACAAGTGAAAATACACAATAAATTACTAACATATGTTTATTTATGTATCGTCTGCCATTTACGCGACTAGTGAACATTTATATAACACTTTTTACGGTTTTAACTATGAATGGACGTAGCTAAAATATAGCCAATAACTTGTACACTTCGCGTTTTAAACCGTTTTATTAATATAGAATCAGACAATCTAGGTAAGTGGTCCTGAAATTCTGACACCAGAAATAAGAAGCTTTCAAAAACTTGCATAAAACTGTGTCGTCGTTTCTTACATCTCAACTTAGATAATTGGAAGAAATGGGTTCTAGTTAACATAAGAATTAACGAGAGTCTTACATGTTTGAAAACACTTGTCACACCAAAAACAAAGTGTGTTATGTGTATCTTCACCTGTTTTTGTAGTTTCATGCATTAGCTTACTCACCCCTGTTTTCGGGTACCCCTTCCCTTTTTATTCTAGACGCTTCTATTTGCCCGTTGTCATTTATTTCTGTAACAAAAATGTTATGTCAGACCAATAAAAAGGTATAATTTTTTATTACATTGTACAGAAGGATCGTTTGTATTTTACGCGAACTACTGGCGTAAACTACATATTATTATGATAAAGCTACTTCTAACAGTTTAAAACGCGAAATATTTTATGGGTCAGTTCGATTAATATATTTCGCGTTTTAAATAGTTAAAAGTGATTTATTTAAATTCATTTTATCGTATTCTTGTTAGCATATATTGATAATAACCATATTCATAAATAGAAAAATCGTACATCGAATTCTTTATTTATAAATTCTTATCTTAATAGATAGGCCCCCTGCATACTCAAACGTCAAGTTGTCTGGCATTAAGGGCGAGAAGAGAACGGGTTTGAATCCCGGTAAAACAATAAATTGTTTCGCTTAATAAGGCCTGTAAATAAAATCATTGGAACGCACACAGAAATGTGTACGCCCCACGCCCAAAAGAAAAAAAGGGGTATCCCTTTTATCTAACGGACTATTATTTGAAATGTATATAAACATGTATCGCAACCTTTTAAGGATAGAATAATCTAGTCTAACTAAACATCAATTTTAACACGTAATAAAGCCATCAACGATGAAAATGTAAGGCAGTAGGTTCGACTCATTGCATGCGAGTCGCGTTCTGACCTAGTATGTCCAGTTCCTGTCCCGGAGGAAGCATACCGACGTTTTTTCAAATTGTATGTCAACTTTCTTCGTTAGCGCAAGACATAGAATATTAGTAATTCTTTTAAAAGTAATACATCCTTCTAATGGTCTTATACAGATATATATTTATTTTTGACAGAGGAGGACAGACAGCTATATAACACTTAAACACGATGTGTTTTTGACCTATATAGGCTTCGGATATTCAAGTACTAATTACTATTTGACGATCGAGTTTGAATCTATAGCGATGAAGGGGTTTGCAAAAACAATTTCTGGTTGCACAAAATAACTATTCTACGCGGAGGAAGTCGCTGACATAGCTGGTGTTTATTTATTTATTATTATTTTGGGTATCAATTTTTTTTACAAACGCCGTTTCAACTCAATACATTTGACCCAACGCGTCGTCTGCGTCCCGTCGCCCTTGCAAGTTAATCTTAAAAGATAGACATATACTGTCGCGGATTTTTTTTAGATCATTTACTTAGATACTTTCATAAATATTTTTTGGGTATGTTGAACACCTCGGAACGGAAAGCCACAGGGATGAATGATTTTCTCCGCTTATTCTAAATTTCCAGCTGTTTCTTTGCTCATATTAGTCACAGCACTGTTTTAGCCTATGGCCTTCCTCAATAAATGCTCTAACTAACACAAAAAGAATATTTAAATTCGAACCAGTAGTTCCTGAGATTAGCGCGTTCAAACAAACAAACAAATTCTTCAGTTTTATATTCTTCGATGAGAACATATAGGTAGACTAAAACGTACTGACGGTTACTAGATAGAGCTATAAGGGAGATACGAAAAACGATGTTATTGAGCGAAATCGCTCAGGAAAAAGCAGCGAGGAATGTTGATATGGCAAAATCTAATTTATACAAGCGATATAAATGTCATAATTGCTTGAAATCACAGTATTTCTTGCTGCTTAGCATATTATTGCCGAAGGAGTGGTGCAAATTTTGTGCAATCGTGTGTACCGCTGAGATAGTAAGGCGTGTGCAAGAATTCTTAGAATGTTAATAAATCGAGTTGATAGGTTTGTTAAAGAAATGTATATATATACTTTTATAAATTTATGATACAATTCTTTACGATAGAGGAAGCCAGACAAGCATCGGGTTCTCTTGATGGTAGATGATGTACCCCAGCCTATAGCATTTAAACAAGACACGCTGTCGCCCTATTTTGGCTTCAGATGTTCGAAAATACACAGACTGAAACCGAAACGCGATTAATCTTCACGCCTTTTCTGTGGATGTGGTGGTTCGTCCGGTGGACGAGATAATTCCTACCAATCATTTTACCATCCAGATTTTCAGACGAAGACCCACGACCCGTTGATTATTAGCCACACATTCCATTAGACCTACGATCCGAATCACTTTCACATTTTCGCCCTTTAAACCGTTAAAAGTGTTTTATTTAAACTTTTATCTCTCTTTCGTAGACTACGTGTATTTCTTATCTTAAATTATTTATGAAACTTCATTAATCGACACAGAATTTATTACATAAGAAAACATATAAACTACCGTATAAATAAAAATTGGCCTTATCGCTAAACAGTAATATCTACCAGGAACCCGATATGAAGGGGAAAAAAGGTGGTGTATGTGTGGATCGTGAAAAAAGTATGAACTGAAAATTTAGATGACTTAAGATCTGCTTATGCGCCTTCAAAATATGACGTGGCAAAATTGACTCTCAGGATCATAGCATAAAGTGTTTCTACCAAAATGTTAATACCACAAGAATGGCTCTTGTTCCTTAATTTTAAAATACGGGCATTCTTTAGACCATTCAAAAATTAATATTTTTTCGTTGCATGAACGTTTTATAGCCTAAAGGCTCCCTCTATATGGTCCAACCAACACTAAAATAATATCGAGTACCTGAGTCGAGCTCTTCAACCAAGATGCACGCATTGATTCCTTTGAGTTAACATTGCAATGCAGTGCAACTTATCTCATCCGACAGATGTCGTAACGACATGTCGTTAGTCGCATTGTGTAAAAATTGCGTCCCGTCCATTATGTGATTTTAATCGTGAGAGATTTTTTGCGAAATGTAAATATTTGTACCCGTAGACGTTCCGGTGTGTTTGAAATAGTTTTATTGTGATACAGATGGAGACTGATAGAGATTCGTGTTTGTCAGATTGATGTAGATATAAAACAGTTACGCGGCAACGACGATGTGAAATAACTACTAGTGTAATTAAAATTGTTACAATTTAAGGTCTAAAAAATGACAAAATTGGATTTCTTATTTTTATAAAGGACTAGACACAGGACCAATCACATGTCTTTTGTCTTTTTAAAATTTAAAGTGGTATTAATCATTTCGGAGAGTTATTTTTTGCTAAGCTCATTAATTAAGTAAAGTTTAAGTAAAGAAGCGGTCGGGGGGGGGGGGGCGTATATAATAGTTTAAAACTGTAATACCTCTTTATTTTTCATTTTAGTCAGAAGGTATGTTATTACCGCCTCTGTAGCTAAACGGTTAAACGTGTCGCCAAGCATTTCGTTAAGCGCAGTACTGGATTCGAAACCCGTCTAAACAATAGATTGTTTCAGTCGGGCAGGGCACAGAAGTCTTATCAACTACTTGCCTGCAAAAGAACCGTCGCAATCCGTTACTTCGCCAGAATTCGAAGCCAGGACCTTTCGCGCTCAACGCAATGCAACCGTTTAACAATTTAGCTGCAGACGTGGTTATTGCTTATACCCTATTAAAAATATAGCCTTTATATAATTATCTCGAAACACTTTATACGATTTCAAAATTGAACCAAGCGTTGTGTAAACGTACCGGTTTATTAACTAAATAGGCTTTCTAAGAGATTGTAGGTCTAACCTTGCCTTACACGGTATCAAAACGATAATGATAACAATTATAATAATGAAGTGAGTAATTATTGTTAGATAATCTGTGCAATGTCAACACATTGATTTAATGTTGAGAGGACTGTTTACTTTTTGTCTTATGTTGGCAGTTTGTAATATCTTTATGCTTTTGTTTTTCCCGCTCTCTTGCATACGGTTCGTTGTAAAAGTATGACGCAATATATAAAAACAGCTAGATCATTTAATTAAATCTCGGCCTTTTTTTAAATAACTTCACTTATTCCAATAGATAGATAAAAATTGTAATGTCGATTCGGTTTCCGACATTTTAGTTTTAAATAGTTTTGTCATTAAGTCGTTTGTGTTGACCTAAAGAACGTAAGTAAATATAACACAGTACTAGCTGTGCCCGCGAAATAATCCGCTTGAAACAGTTATTTTGAGCAACATATACTGTCACCTACGTCGTCCGCGTCAATTCCTGTTATTATTTTAGACGATTTAGTTCAAAGAAAACTAGCGAGTTCTTTTTAAATTCTACATATACAGTCGCGGACGTTTTTTTAGATAACTTAAAGAATAAACTTTTCTTTTCTTGATTAGTTTTAGCAGCGCACGCATCGGAAACCTCAAAGATGAATAGCTTCCCCCATCTTT